TTCAACTAGATTGTTTGCGAAAAAAATTCATTTTTTCTTCGCAAAGCTTAAAATAAGTACGACATATAGAAATTACGTGCCGTTCATAAAGTATATAATTGCATAACGTTACTATTCGATTTTTATTTCGTTATTTAATAAAATCACGACATTTAGAAAAATTAATGATGTGGAACAAATCACAAGCTAAATCTGTGGGATTATATGCAATTCATAATTAAAAGAAATATCTGACGTTAAATGACACGGAACGAGGGATCATACTGCGGATCCACAATTCCAATTCGCGGAACAGGATATCGGTTTTCTTTACTCGTTTATTTGCAAGACTGTTATTTCCGTAAATCACGCGAGATTGAAAGATGCGGAAGTATTTCATTCTATTACTCGAAGAATCGATTATCCGCGCACACTTGTGTTGCCAAAGTAATCTAGACAGCTAACTTTTTTGTGATCTCGTTACTTTGTTGCAACTTTACAAGAAAAATCGTTCTTGTCAGTAGATTTCTCTCATAAATCTTCAATAGCGCCGTATGCTGATAGCGCAGTCGGCTATGGGATTGTCGGGCGGATCGACATGTGTAACGGTGCAGGTGCAAAGCTTGAATATGCATAGACCGTCCTTTGATATGTACGCTATTCCTTCGCGGAATATATTTACTGGAGAAGATATATATTGCTCAGTTCGACGCCGATCACGACAAATCAATAACAAATTTATTATGGAAAACGCTTGATAACTACGATAAGAACTCGATCATTTGCATTGAATAAGGTAATTTTTCTCAGAAGAATTGTACTTTCATAATTCTGAAAATATTCAACTACATATTTTTAATATAATGGAACTCTGATCGTCCAGAAAAAAAATTTCTATAATGAAAATAAGAAAACTTTCTGAATATTGTAGATTTAATAATGTATTATTATTTTGAAAAGAAAATAATTAAAGAACAAAAAGTAAAAAATAGAAATACCTATCCACAGAAAGTAGAAACTAACTACATACGTCATAAAACGATAAATTTATTTAGCTCAATATACGCGTGTGCAGTTAGTTCGAAGTTTCTAATTTCATTCCTTGTTCTATAATTACTTTTTGAAATAACACATTATTAAATCTACAAGTTCACATCTGCTACGTTCGTGTACCTGTAGATTTTGCAAATTATAAGTCTTTGAATATAACTATTACTCGTTAATAATTACTCACAATTATTATTTCTGATCTAATCTATGTAATTACGATAAAAATTCAAATTTAGTCATATAAAAAGTATGCGGGATATATCTGATGATAATAAAAGCACGTGTCACTTTATCAAAGAGCACCAAATCCTGATAAAACCCGATAATGAACGTTGCGCTATACGTTGTACACACATCGATGAGAAATCATGAATAATAAAGAGACGAATCTCGCATGTTATGAATGTAAATGCGGGACAATGCGAAATCCGCAAAAGTGCAATAACATTTAGTGGTCCGCGGAGTAATCCGATTGCATTTCTATAGCGATGCACGTGCGTACAATCACGCACACAGACATAAAATACACTTGAACAAAAAGAAAGATATTTCGTTAATCTCTGGTAACCTTTAAAATAATTTACTTTACGTGAAAGAAAGCGCGTCGTTATAATATCGAATAGTATCATGGATTAAACTTTAAATTGAATGCAAAGCAAAATTGACTCTCTCGGGCGTTCTGGCTAGAATTTCAATTTAGAATAACTTTCTCTAAATCTTATTCATCAATTAATCCACGTATAAGTACTGTAATATACTGCAATTTATTATAATCCATACAGCTGCGCACAAATATGCAATTCAATAATGATTTATCGCAGAAATTTATTTATTATATGATCAAAAAGAACAAATGCTTCAAATAAAATTTTTCAATATAAATTGTAGTGAATAAAAAATGTGAATTGTAATTCCATTTCTCATACCTTTTGCAATTTATGTAATTGTTTAACACACAAATGAGAATAAAGAAAATATAAATTACGTTTTGCGGATTATTTGGTGAAACAATGCCAATACGAGTATGAAAAGATTGCTATCATTACGACTACTCTGTGAATAATAAAAGCTTTATGACGCGGTAACCATAAAGTCTCAATCCCAGCTTTTCGCTTCAACGCTATGGAACAATGAGAGCTTCCGCGGCAACGCACTGTTTCCGTCCACACTTTTTTTATCGCATCGATGCACATTCCGCCATATTTTTCCGAATGGATCTCATTCACGATCAACTGGCCGATCGAACGAATCAACGATGCGCGTGGTTATAATACCACGGAAGTGCATATTGCAAAGCTAATTGTTCCTAATTGGATTTCGTGCTACTACGCACACGTTCCATTCAGTGTCCGTATATATGTGTGTGTTTCGAAACTATTCTATCCATTTTGCCAAAATACCAAGATGCGATTATGTTGTTACAGTTTGATTAACAGATTAATCACAATGACACAATTAGCATTATACAATACTGTAATATTACAGTATTATATTAGAATACAGATTTTCGAAATTTATTCCATTTTATTGTTAAATTAGTATTAACGCTAAATTATTCAGAACAATCAACAGCTCTTCCAAGGATTATAATAATAAAATGAATAAAAGTGACAAAAATAATAAAAAATGAAATTTGTTACAATTTCTTTAAAAACACACAGTCACGAATATATTATTGGTTATATAATATTCCTAAGATATATAATTTTCTTGCACGCTTCTTATATAACAATGACAACTAACTGATATATATATTATCTACCCACAGTAATTTAATTTTCAGTATTGAAGAAAAATGATTCCGAGAAAAATGATTCCGAGAAAAATGATCTATTAAAGGATTACAGACGATCGCACGTGTACAATAATATCGCATCGAAGAAAAATGAACGAAGGAAAAAGGTGAACCTTCACATTTCAACGTCGAAGTTTCCTGAGCAAAATAACGCTCGTTCCCGCAAGAATCGCCTGAGCAAGAATCGAGTAATGTATCGTTTAAAGGATTGAAGCTGTCCTTTCAAACGCTCACGCTATACTTTGTATCGCGTGCCCACGATCTTTTCTGCACAAAATTACCAGCATTTTGCTTAACAATCGCTCAAGCAAACTCTGCTTGCTGCAAGTAAAAAGCTTTGAAAATTCTGACCGGGACGCAATTGAGTCGGGAACTCGATCGTCTAACTCGATTCGTCGATGTCATTCGAAAAACGGGACTGACGGTAAGCCGCGTTCTCAATTCGATTTACATTTCGCCGAATTCGATCGGGTACCAATTCTCGACGACAAGCGTCATTAAAGTCCTTCAGCCTTCTCGAACCGGTTGCCACTCAACACGCTAGTACTTAGGTAATTAATGCAAATTACGGTGTGACGCAAACAGCTTGTTGCTTTGCGCAGTCAACCTGCGCATTTTCGATAAAAACACTCGACGTAACAGCTCGGTATGTTTTGTGAAAAATCGACGTGAAAAGCGTGCGATTCAATCGGAATTCTATTCCGAGGAGAAAGAAATTTTTTTCGATCGCAATTAAATTTATATTTTTATCAAACTCGTAATAATCCGTGTATATGAAAGCAATATGAGATAATGTTAAAATTATATAAAACTAATTCTTCGCAACTTGTGTGCTAAATTAATGATATTAATTACTATTCATTAAATTTTATTTTTATTTTTATTTATTTTAATTTAACCAATTATTTCATTCACAGAGAAGTTAAGCATTAATAAAACTAAAATAAATATTATTATATTCTACATATAGTAATATGCTTTATATTTTTGTATTGCATATATTATGTATACTTTCATATTTCATATATTATTTTATATCTGTATAGACTTGCATATAAGAATTAGTGAAAGTCTAATTTAGACTTCGCGTGCAATTGCATAGTTCCTTTTCAACAATCTTAGGAAATTATTTAAAAGAAGCCTCGGGGTAATCACGTGCATCATAGAATGCATAGATATATATCTGCTCGTATATCTGGCACGGCATATTGCTAAGTTTCTCGAGATTTTCCATTTGTTGAGTACGCTTGCCTGATTTCGCCGTCGGCGAGCTTGCAGCAGAAAGCATTTCAACAGTTTCGCTGAGTCAAACAATATATTACTTTACTTGAAATCATGTCATGCATTTTCATTGTTATTTACAAATGTGCAGTATATTGTTTGCAGTACATTGGAAATTCTAAAAGATCACGTCGATTTTATATTCAAGGCGTAAAATGCACTAACACAAACTGACATAGAGTTACGATATTTCACGATTGTAATTTACGATTGGATAAATCCAAGGGAATTTATGGAATTGCAATTTCATGACTTTACGCGTCCTTAAAACGTTTAAAAATTCTTGTCTAATTATCTTGTTTCGTAATCTTTAAGACTTTTATTCATCTAAAAAGAATAGTGTTATAAAAATCACTAAAGAAAAAATATATTCATTGAAATATATGCATATACAATAAAATATTTATTAAATGCACTTATTAACAGAGTATATATTAATAATAATCACATGATTTGTTGATTTACGATATATAAAAGATTGCAAAGAGGAAGATATATAGTCCAAAGGCAAAAAAACCGAACCGAAATCGGAAATCGAAAATCGATTAAAAGCTAATTTAAACCTGGTTTAAAAAATTAAGCATTTAATATCACAGTATTGAATTTCCCTTATTAAGATTTAATTTAACTTGGCTATTTTCACAGCAATTAAATCCATTCATTCACAATCCACGATGTTACTCGAAAAAGAACAGAACCGAACACTAAAATAAAAATGCTAAAAGATTTTGTCACTTAATTTTTACTATTTAATAAGCTATAGAAAAAGTTTTCTTATCGAAACTAAATCCCAGAATAACTCTTTAAACAATGTAGCGGCCTTCTTTTTATCTCTACTATGGCTATCTGATATGTTCGATCTATCGCAAACCGGATTTGGCTGTTCTAATTTCAGAAAATGCGCTCCGCGACCGTGTGCATCGCCTTCGTCCTAACATGCACGAGCGGGTCCTTTGTCGCGGGTATGCGATACATCGATCCGCAGCCAGGAAGTAACGGTGACATCGGCGACAAACGAGTGGACCTGACTGAACCGTCGTGCGATGAGCTGCGCGCCATGTGGAGGTACACGAAGAGGCAGAGCAGAGCTGCTAAAACCAACAGCGGATACCCGACCTACCCGTACAATCCCAATATATGGCCTAGTGCCGCAGGATTTCCCGATCGCACTAAATTTTCCAGAGGATACACACGAGGTAAAACTCTTATGTCTCTCAAAGCGAAAAATTGCGACGAATCCTCGCAAGATTTTTTAAAAAACATTCAAATTTTTGATGTTGTCAAATGTATAAAAAAAATACAAGTAACTTTTTTAACGTAAACTGATGAATTTTCAAAAATATTTTAAGAAAATAATTGGCCCGAAAACTAAATTGAAAATAATTGGCCTTGCGCAGATAATCTCGAACCTACACGACTGAAATTACGAGAAGAGTTGCAAGGTAAGCAAATCTTTTGCATAATTTCAACTGTGTGTTGCCTAGTAAATAAAAAATTATACACGATTTCTGAACTACGTGTCACTTCTCGTCGAGTTTCCTGGTAAAGATATTAGATAGTTGACTTGCAATTTTATGTCGCTTATATCGTCAGTAATAAAACGCGAGTCTTTTTCGCGACTTGATGTATCTTCCTCCACATAAAGGAGCCTGGCATCGGCAGGACGCGAATAAAAGAAGGAACGCGTGCGTTTTATCGATTTTATGCATCGAGTGGTTCATCGAACAGCCCACGAGTTTCAACGCAAACCTGCGTACCAGGCTGCAATACCATCTTGCAAATACGCCAAGCACATGTGGGTCAAGCGCACCACTTTACTACGTACGCGTCAGCACTTACACTAACGAGTATACACGATTCAGGCTAATTATCGAGGATATGTTGACTACCTATTGCTTTGAAGTGCGGTAACGTTGCAAGCGAATCGGACGCTTTGTCTGCATCTAAATTTGATTGACCGTGTAAAGCGCGCGCAACTAACAGGCAGCGCTCAAATTATTTAATTTCCTCTCTTCGCGGTCTTTAATTAGAAGAATTAATTAAATCCTTTTGCTTTTCCACATTTCTCGGCTAGAGGATTCTCGGCTATTCAAGACACGATATTACTAAGCGGCTTATTACGGTTGAAATAAAAAATTTACGTCATTTATTTGAAAAAATATAGCATGCAGCTTTTAAGGAAGAAATTCATTTTGTAACTTGTGACGCAAAATTTCTACTGATGCCAATATTGACTACTTTTTAATTAATTCGATAATTATATTTTCTTTATCCATTTATGCAATATACTTTGGTCAACAAAGTATAGTCAACAAAGAGATAAAGGATTAATTAAATTATGGTTAAAAATTCAAAGCTTTGCCTTTGTAATTTGCATATAAGAATACAAATAATTGTTTTTGGCTTCAAAATTGGCAAAAATTAAAAAATAATAATAAATATGTAAAATAAAATAATTAGTCTCGCGCAAAGACATTTATTGCTAATAGAATTGAAAGATAACCAAATCTGCTGCGTAATTACAACAATATATGTATATTATCTAATAAAATTATACGAATACCTACGCGAAGCTAAATATTATTCGTCAAATTTCTTAAAACTAACAACGTTATTAAAATGAAATTAGTGCGTTATTTGTACTTGTGTCTATGTACACACCATAGTGTCATTAACGCGGCAAACTCATTTATAATTACTTTTTAACTCTTTCACTTCTTGTAACACGGTGCTTCTCGTGCTTAAGAATAAGCAAACACGGAGCTATGGCTAGTATTGGTTATTTACTTTCACATTTAGTTATATATTTATAAATTTATAGTCTAATTAACTGGCTGTCAGATTAATTCACATTAACATATCAAAATAATTTCCGTCATATTTCGTAATAAGTATAATTATCATACCGCGAATAATTAGCGAATAATTGATTCCTAATATCTGAACAAGCGCGAAGGCAGATATCGAACTTTGTTAAGACTTAATCTACATAGAATAAATTCTACCCGTCACAAAATTTTCGTCATATTTCGTAATAAGTATAATTATCATACCGCGAATAATTAGCGAATAATTAATTCCTAATATCTGAACAAGCGCAAGATATCGAATTTTGTTAAGACTTAATTTACATAGAATAGATTTTACCGATCATACAATTTGCGACACCTTCGCCTACGCAAAATGTCAGCGACCCTTTTCAAAACCTTTTCACGCATTGAAGCGCAATACACGCGCTTCTTGACCTAGGGCGGTATTCATAGTCCCTTCTTATATTCAAAAATCGTCTTAAGCACGGACTTATATTCGCTCTCTTCGTCAAACATAGATTGTGTCTGACGAAGAGAGCGAATATAAGTTCGTGCTTAAGACGATCTTGAATATAAGAACGGACTATGAATACCGGCCCTAGTGTCACTCATTTCCACCCACGTGGAGAATGCATGAAATCTCGTTGATTTAAATCCCTCGCAGTGTACTGTGTAATTGTTATTCTAAAATTGTTTCAGTTATTAATTTAAAATGTCCCTGAATACTTTATTTAACTTTCTTTTTTGTGAAACTAAAAAGAACTCTGCAAACATTAATTTAATAAAATTTATATATAATAAACTATTTTTCTTTTTCTAAAAACAGGATTATGAAGAGGCAAAAAGATTCAATTTAATCTCGAATAATTTTTAAAAATATTTGTGCTACAGAGAAAACACATATTTTTTTAGATTAAAATATTTTTTTTGCCAAGACCAAATTTACGTATAAAATATAACTAAAGAAAGATTAATAACACATTTACGACTTAAAAATAAAGTCTCTTATCCATATATGTACATATGTATATATCTTTTTATAGAATTTTCTAGTTCTTCGTTCTCCAATAAAACCGATATACTTTGCGAAGTGTTCGGGAAGTTATTCTAACAATAAGCAAAAAAAGTTACATAAACTATGAATCGATTTGACTCCGATATCGAGATATGAGAAATTTATTGATACAAGCTAGAAATGCTCAAGCGCACATATTCGAGCTATCCAATTTACATTCAATATCTGTTTAATTATTAGTTTTACATTACATTTATTGGCATTATTTTCACATGTACTGTTTAAAGTGGTCACACACATGATTAAACGTACTTCCATTAAATATCAATACGTTCGTTGCTGACGCTAACAGCAGCTTCAATCATGCTTTATATCAACTGCTCTTGTGCGTGTCTGCCTTGAACAGTACATGTAAAAGTAATGTCAATGTAAAGTAAGAAACTGATAATTAAATATAACAGATATTAAATGTAGATCAGATAGCTTGAATGTGTACCCGAACTTTTGGCTTATATCAATAAACTTTCCATATTTCGATGACAGAGCCGAATCGACCCACGGTTTTTTATACAACTTTTTTTTGCTTAAAATAATCTTCTGAACGCTGGGGAAGTTCATCGATTTTATTGCGGAGTATAAAACTGACCGATTTTTCTCGCGAGCAATTTTCTGTCAGATTTGTGTTATCAAATATTATTTAAAAGAGATTAATGCAAATAATGATAAAAGATAAGAAATAAAGAATCAATGATTCGCAGCGAGACATGCCGGACGACCGCGTAGCCGAGCCGCCGGGGGTGCACCGATATATGGAAGAATGGTACACAAGGCCCCGGCAAGTAGCAGGTGGCGGAACGCGATGCGAGGACCCGGGCGCAAAGCTTTTGAAGATTTAACGCGGGCCTACGGAACCGTAACCCGTTTCAGGCCGAATCGCATCACTAGCTTCCGCGTTGGCGGCGGTATCTCGCCGCCGAAGTCGCAAATTCCTCAAGCCGGAAGCTTTGAAGCGCTCAAGAATCTTATCCAGGCTGAGAGAGCACGCGAACTAAAGGTCGGTCCTAACTCTTTGTGCGTCAGTTTAATTAATTCTTCCCCTCTCAAACTTTCAAAATTTGAATTAGAATGCCTTAGATAAATTGTAGGAAGATTAACCAACTGTTTAACAATTAAATTTCTCCAATTAATTGACATAATAAATTACAATAAAGATATAATTGTTACGAAAATTGTGAAGAAAGTGAGAAAAGATTTAACGATATTGAATGAGTTTTCGTCATAAAAATACTACCAGAGTTTAAAAATATTATCTTTTACCTAAAGTTTCTTCGCACATTTTATAATAACTTTTATAATATGTATATAAAAATCGTTTAATCAATGTATATTTCAGGCACAACATATTGCTGAAGAAATGGACACGGAAATTGCCGCTTATAGGGGTGGTAAAGAGATAACGGACGAAGAGCAAGAACCGAGTAGAGATAATATACCGCGAAGATATATTCCTAACCTGAAAGAAATGACACCGAAAGTCAATTACGATTACAATCAACGACGATATCACATGCCTAGAGTCGGTCAAGCTTGGTCGGTGAGTTCTCTCTAACACCTTTTTTATTCTAAAAATTTAATTTTATATAATAATCCGTGGAATTTTAAAATATAAAATTTTAATAATTTCTATGAAAATTTCTTGAATTCTAACATATTTATATCATGCGAATTATTCAATTTTATATTCACGAGAGAGATTTCTCCGTTTCTTTTATTTTTAAATTAATGTTATCGAATTTTTTTATATTTAATGTGAAAATATTCTTATATTTTTTTCGCAGAGGGAGCCTATCTCGCCAGAATATATGTCACCTTAGTATGCTGCGAATTGTTGCAAGGGAACGATACAAATCCGAAAACTGCCGCATGCATACTAGTGTTTGTGACTGCTCTGCATGACGCAGCTGCAACCAGTTGCAGCTGCTATCAGCAAAGCTGCGACTGCGAGAGTAAGCTCACTTTAAAGATCACGTGCGTTCTGAGGCTCCGGATCTCTGTGCAAACTTTTAAATCTTTGTGTCATGTAAGTGTAGACAAAAATGCATTTCAGCCCAATCAGCCGATATCGAAAAAACCGTATTAACCGTACATCCAGTTGCAAAAAGCCGAGTTTTCCTCCACACTGGAAATCTAAAGCCCAACATATTATAGAAAAGGAAATAAATATTGAGATAAATTTAATGGCATCTATTGGGTTAAAAGCACGAAATCTACACTTCCGGAATGTATCCGAATATCGCATGCATATCTGTAATACGAATAGAATTAAATGTGCATGAGATAAAAATCTGTTTACACATATGGAATCGATTTGATCGAAAATGTGCATGCGTTTTTCTAACGCTTCGTATATTTGTGCAATCCGACGTTTTGCAACGGCGTTGAAACGAGTAGTCATTCGATATGATGCACATTTTCATGGATTTTAAGATTTCCCTGCGTTTGAAGCTTGCAAGACATCAAATGAGAAAGAGGATAATGTTATAATGGATTTCCTAAATCTATATACACAATAACTGTTTGTCTGCGAGAAGCTCAGGAACAAAGAGCAAACTCCTTCGCAAATATCCTTAAAAGCTACAAGTCGTAAAACCTAATAGAATAAAATCCTAAAACTGTAATCTCTGGAAATCTACTTGGACGCAAATATAATAGAAATCTTTTCAGTTATATACAAAGTAAAATATTTCATTTAAATGGATTTAACTTTGCAGAAAAATGGAGCATACAGCGAATGTCTCTCTCAAAAAGTAGCACTACTATTATTTTTTTTATTATTAAAAAGGCGGTAGACTATTCAAAATGTTAAACCTAATTTCACAAAAATATATATCATATCGATAAATCATCAGTCAAGCACATTAAGAAAAAATTTGACATGCATAGATTGAATCATATACTGCAGCATTCCAAATTTTAATACTATTTCGGAAAACGTTGTTTACAAATCAGCCATTTAATACTCAAATAAAAACAATGTAAATGATAACAATTCATACCATTCAAGATAATTTTAAGTATAACATTTTATTGCAGCTATTCATTTTGCTAACTTAATTTATCATTTTAACGTTGCCCATCATAACAATTCCGAAAATTATAAACATGAGTCAAATAGTTTACATATACATGTATTTAAGTATAGAAAACAAAATTATAATTTACAATATTAATCAATGTAGCTTAATTTTCCAAAAATGTGTTTCATTATCGCTTTTTTTATTGCTCGAGAGATAGAGATTCGCTGTATGCTCCGATACTTGATTGAAATACGACAAAGTATTATTCTCGGGGATGTTTGCATGTGAATATTTGCAGCTGTGCCAAATAAAATGTCGCATCCCCCGGCTTTCTCCATGACATTGAAAAACAACACTTGGACAATACATAAAACTAGTAAGACTTATATCTAAAAAATTTTGACATTGTACATTAACGTAACTTAAGAGACTCTAGTATATTCTTCGATAATCCATCAAAGTGCACTACATATCGTGCTGATGTATTGGAAATAAAAGACAATAATTACTCTTAAGAAAAAGTTTGTGCGTACAATATTTCTGTGTTCTCAATATGAATACACGATTATATTGTGGTAAAAAAAAAGTGAAAAAAAGATTATTTCTGATGTCTTATAAAACACGAAATTAAGATGAAAGCTTTTTGCGAAAATAATTAATGCTAGTTGTACGTGCAAGTAATGTTATATCTTGACCCTTAAATGTTTCAATGTAAATATATATAAAATTATATACAATGCGTATAACAATTGATATAAATGTGCTTGTCGTTATCTTGAATGCAATATCGATTATGTGAATCTTTTGTTCGTCTTTAAATTTTGTTTATAAAGCCTACTAAAATATTTACTAAATTTGCAATCTTGTGTGTCATCCCTACACAACAATGCAACAATGCAACACTGCTGCAACAAATGTTAATCAAACATTTAAGGGTTAAAGAATGCATCTTAATGACAATAAATGTAAAAGTTTCTTGTAATCCTATTAAAAAAAATGAAATTGCGTAGGACGACTATTTGTGTGGCTTACTTTGTGGCTCACGCTGAAGAAATAATCACTCTCAGCTTTTGTAGTTCGTAAAAAAAGAAGACATAAATGCGAAAAAAACTGGATAAAATATATTACTACATATAATAATTTGATATTAAAAAACGGTTCTGACTGGGGAAACTTTATATACTTCTATATTTGAAAACCACATATCTATGTGCAAATATATATTATTATCCACAAACACACACACACACACACACACACATAACATATCGAACATATTTAACAATTCAATTATTGACGCCCTTTCTTAAAGTTTTTGATAAATTTTAATAAATACCAATATGTGAATATTTATGATTATATGTCCGTTATAAAATGACTGCAATAAGTCTTAAAATGTTCATGCGATTTACATTTTGTTGTTTTTTAGCAAAAATTTAACAGTGTTATTAATTTGAATAGAAAAATGTGTAAAAATATGTTAACATAAAAAGTTGAAAGTTATTAGCAAATAAAATTCGATTATTCAACATAAAGTGAATTTTTTGCTTACAAAAATTTAATTTAGCATAATTGTTAAAACGTATATCAAAAAGTACGGATTCATAAAAACTAGAAATATTTTCCTGAAAAGCGCTTTAAATTTTATTTTTTATTCTCCAGTCCTATAAAGCGTAAAATCCTTTTTCTGATATCTTTAGTAACATATTTTCCACACTAATTACAGTTTAACATAATTAAACCAAGGACTAAATATGTCAACTTTCAAATTTATTTATTTTTTTTTTATTTTTGAAACTAGAAATCAGAAAAACAGTGATCAGAAACACATTGTAAATTGCCTTTTTTTCATATTACGTAAACCATTACGAGCAAAGTTTTCTATTTACCTCATATAATGTTAATGTTAATTTTAATGTTAATTTTAATGTTAATGTTAATTAAAGTTTTATTGAACTAAAACATAACTTTGTTTTTTACTTGGCCATATACATTTCATGATTATTAAATAAATTATGAAATAGTAATCGTAATTATGTGTGCATGTGTGCGTTAGCATAATTATATGTATGTTTAAATAATAAACAAACAATTGTACTTACCAGCTAGGGTATTGCAATTTGTTTTACCCGTGGCAGTTCTACCTTACAATTAAATTATTTCGCATTTTATTAGCCCTTTGCTTTGATTTTAACTCTATCAAAAAATTGATAAATACTAGCACTTATTATTACATTATTGAAAAACAAAAGTCAAATTGTTGATTTCAATTTCACAAAATATTGTTGCAAAATTTGTCATGTCGAGTATATCAAACGCAAAATAAAGTGCTACAATTATGATTTATAAATTGATTTATAAATATTGATTTATACGCAATAACTAAAAATTGTTTGGGTATAAAAAGTATGGCAAAATTGTGTGTGCAATATCTTCAATATCAACACAACACAAATATAATAAATAAAAACTCACCGGTCGTTGTACTCTAACTAAGTACGCGTTCAGCTGCACCTGGAAAGATTAATATGCATAAAATTAGTTATTACAAATTATATAATATATATAATATATATATGTTGATTATTACATAACAGCATAACTGTATGCAATAAAATGGGTTAATAATTATTTAAAAATTTTGATAAAAGCATTTAATAAATGTTTTAATAAATATTTCAATAAATACAAATATTGCAAAATAAAATAATAAACGAACAATTGTACTTACCAGTTAGAGTATTGCAGTTTGTCTCACCCGCCGTAGATTTTATCTCAAATTGCTCCATGTCAGCTCCATCGCTGACGAAACCAGCACTTATAAAATATTATTACAGCCTCAGAAATCACACTTCACTTATCAAAAATCACACTTCACTAAGCAAAAATCACGAATTTAGATTTGTCCAGATTTGTCACGCCGCGAGACATAATACGCGAGATAAAAAGCACTTTATGCTGCAACACGTCCGCGTCATCATTTTATATATACTACTCGACATATACGACGCACGTAACAACTACCGTGTTTTACTCGATTTAATTCCGACATATTGAATTTTCAAAATGCTGACAAAACGTATACCGCGAATATTTGGCGCTAATTCATGTGTAACCTGCAAGATCAGTATTTCTCGAACTGTGTCAGTTTCAATCTGCAGTACAGATCAACAAAACACAAACAACAAAACACACTTAATCACAAACACTTGAACTAAATAACACATATTAGGTGCTTTCCGGCTAGTGACACAAGAGTAAACAAAATATTATATTCACTCCGTTGCTCATTGGATATCGAACAAAGACAGAATGATAATTGTGTCGACTTGTGTAACTAGCTGGAAAGCACATTGCTACGATCACTCGAACTCATCACTTTAATATCATTTCTGACAAAAATTAGCACTTATTTCGTAAATAAAATAACGAACACTCAAAGAACGCTCATACTCTACATTCATGAACTAAGCAATATAAAAGATTGCTATACTGGCCAGAAGATGGCGCACGTAGCACCAAATATATCGATAATCGACGCCAGGATATTGCGACGCGATCGATATTGATCATCTATATTTTTGAAAATGTTGATTATAAAACTTTAAAATTACTATTTACATAATTTATTGCATACAGTGTTTCAAAATAAAATAGTTTAATAATATGTAACAATCAACATACGTAAAATGTATGAAAATTAATAATAACTAAAATGTACATTAATTTCTCGAAATGCAGTTAACAAAAGCGTATGACAAAAAAAACATAAGAACTAAAAACGCGGATGTTTGAATGCAAAAAATATTATAAATTAATACACAAAAAAATTTTACAAATTCTTTATTAAGAAATTACAAAAATTACACAAATTTTTGTAATTTTTTTTATTGTTGCTTAATAGTAAAGAATTTTAAATTTTGCATAAATTATATATGCTCAAAAAATTTATTTGACTTTATTATTTAAATATATATATATATATATATATATATATGATTATAATAACACACACATGCTCACAATTACAATTATATATTTAATCGCATTAAACATGCAAATCTTTGATTTTTCTCCTCCATTGACGTTCTATACGTCGTAACTTTGTATACACTTGTCAAGAAAGGCTGTTACTTACAGTACTTGGTCGTAAATTAGCCGTTGTTTTAAAGTACCGTCGTTTAGGCTGAGGTTCTTAGTTGAGACCCAGTGCCTGATATTACAAACTAGAGACTGGTCGAACAATCTCGAGATTAAGACTCGAGCAAGCTGCACGCTCGTAAACTTTATTACTTTGAAGTAAGAGAATTAAACGTATATTTATATTTTATTATACAAATAACGATAAAGTAATTATCTGAAATTTTCCTTCACTCATCTTTTATGAGAGAAAAATTATTATAATACAATATTAATTATAATTACTTTATCAAATTTACCATTGTCGTCACACATGACTTCTTTATTAATATAAATCTCTATTCATAAACTACTACACACAAATATCATGTAGAATATTAATAATTAAAAAAAAAAAGAGCATTAGAAGAATATATAAAAGTATGCAGCTGCTCGAGTTTGTTTTCTCTAAACTCTTGAAACCTCACAGTGTGCTTATCTATATTTTATTATTAGATAGTAAAAATTGCCAAATACATAATGACAATAAATTAATCATAGGTGATATTTTAAAATGAGAAAAGGAGAGAGATAATTTTAAGTACGTTGAATTCTATAATTAAAATAAAAGACTTGCATATTGTTTAAGATATATAAATGTCACTCTTACGTATTTATAGCATGCACATGATCTTCGTGCATCTATTCGATGAATTAACGAGACTATAACAATATGTTAACGAGACTATATTTAGAGGTAAACCGCTGATGAAAATTAAAAAAAAAAGAATTAAAAATAGACATATAAGCAGAAGTTAAAAATCGAGTTGTTCGAAAAAACTTCTCGTTTGACTGCTTGTTGAATAAAACATTTTATGCCTCAAAATTTCAGTGTTATTTCTTTTTTTTTAAGGGAGATCAAGATTAATAACTTAAGTAGGGGTCAAGAATAATACAATTATCACATTTTTTATTAATTTTCTGTAAGTGTTTGGTTATATTTACTATAATGTTCATTGATCTTCAATCATTTCTACATTTAGTAATGCATCACAATAATCCTAGCGGTTTATCTCTTAGATTATACTTTATCACCGTATTTGGCATAGAAACTTTTTAATATTATTATAGTATCAATTATGTCTATTAAGAATTATAGCAGACTTCAAGCAGAAATGACAGACAATAATTAATGGTAATATATTTAATATTAAAAACTTAGAATTAAGGCAAGAAAAAAAAGAACAGTAACAATGAAATCAAACATATTCACGATAAATGTATGCTAGCTTATTTTTAGCACTTCAACATATCTATTGAGCAAATTACTAATTTAATTAATTTTAAGAATTATAATTGAAGAGAAGCGCCGTCTTTTTAATAAAATATTTTATTTATAATATAAAAAAGTTATTTTGCAACAAAGAAAAATGTGCTGCAATGTATTAATTATGTGCTTTTACATATACATATACTTTCTAGATAAATTATTACAATTGTCATTTATGTGTACAGAAGATTCAATTAAAAAATGACAATAGCGCTCAGATATAAAATGCGTATAGAAGTATATTGTACCTACTTATTGACGATAATGCTTACACGTAAACAAGTCATAGTGTTAAAATGACAAAGACAATTTACTTTGTAAATTGAACAATAGTTGTTTAATTAATGTATAGATTTACCTACATCTAGCCTTTTAATATATATATTATTCTGTTATAATTTATTGAAATATACAAAATATCAAAGTATTTATGTTAAATGCTTATTGCTACGTAAGCTAGCTTACTACTGAAAATATGTTGTATAAGTTAATGACTAGAAATGTTGTATATCAAAATGTATAGTTGTAAAATATTGCGTTTAAAAAACTTAAAGAAAATGCATTATATGCGTAGGCAATGCTAATTTAAATATACAGAATGTCTTAAATATCGCGCATTTTCTGCCGATTACAGCTTCACTGACAAGATTTGAATCAATTTTAATGATTAATTAAAATTTACTTATAATAAGATTTATTCAACCATCAAGAGTAAGAAAATTTACCATTTAAATCATTTAATTTCAAGTCTTTTATAATGTTAGAAACCAGTAATGCCACGTTATTGAAAAGAACATCAATTTTTTTACTTTTATCTTTGACATAAAATATTAAAAAGAAGCGCGATATCTTGACAGACTCTGTATATGTATAGTACATATTATAATGAACGTTCTATACATACATGTGCACTACTGGATTATATTTTATTTTTAAATATAATATATATGTCTCTCATCACAAAATATTTTTTATAGTTTCCTTTCCCCAATCTTCAATTTAATACGGAGCTTAAAACTTTGTGAAAGAAATATTTAATGCTCAAACGCAATATTTAATTAAATAAATCACTAAATTTATATAAATTCTACATTGATAAAGAAATTTTTTATGTGCTTCAGATAAATCAGTTTCTATTAATATTCAATGTAAATAAATTTCTGTAAAAAAAATAATTAGAATGGGAATATTGTGAGATTCAAGGATATCGTAAGATCTGAAATGGAAAAACAGAAGAAATAACAGCTGCTTAAGAGTTTTATTTCATCTGCATAGATTTATTTACATTCTGGTAATATAACTTACGACGCCACGCGATTTGTAAGAATAGTGAATGATAAAGTTTTATATTATTTATAAAATTGTCTTGTATATGCATCCTAACATATACATATACCTCATGTTAATATTTACAACACTAATTAGAAAAGCTGACTTGTACATTCTTTACGGATATATACAATATTTTTCCGTGTATGTGTATTCGAAACAATGATGACTACCGGCTTGCGCTATTAAAACACATAACTTCTATACTCTCTACAAGAATGCACAAGATAATAAATCTTCTTTTTAATTTCGTGTTCTCAAATGAGAAACGCTTCCGTTTCCGTTTGTCATTATTTCATAACTATTTCAAGTTTAATTTAATCCACGTAACAATTCTATAAAAGTTCTTCGCGTTTGGTACTACACTAGCGATGACAAACCTCATAAAGAGATTTTTATTAATCTTCGACACGATTGCAAAGTCAAAAACGGCAAAAATTATATAAATTTATATAAAAGTCGCATAGTGAAAGCGTCAATCTAGAAACTCCATTGGCATTTTGATTATTGTACTGCAACGTCGTAAAAACATGATATCGACGATAATGAGCGGAATAAATTGCAGGGATGCACAAGGTTATCTCGCGACCGTAAGCGCGACTACTGAAATCAACTATTGCACTAATCGCACTTAAAATAAAAAGACTTAACACGATATTATTCTATCATTTGGAGCGTAATTATATCGCAAACTCATATTATTTCTACATAAAACTGGAAATCTTAATCGCAAATATATTTTGCCACGCGTCAATGTTACACAAGCAAATTACCTTTATATGTTCTTGTGGAAATGCATAGAAAAATGCTGCAATTTCAATTTTTAGCATTCATCTGTGGAACTAGTATCTGTGTTATTCGTGTCACGGGTGTAATAATGTGCAATCCTCATTTTTTTCATTAGTTTCTAATTCCTCTTTACGCTTGTCGTATTTCTTATTATTGCAGATAAGAGACTGACCGGTTTAACGGATCCGTTAAACCAGTCAATCTCTCTTATCTGCAGTAATACGAAATACAAGCGTAAGAAGAAATTAGAGAAACTAATGAAAGAAATGAGGATTGCACATTATTAAGACCCGTAACATAAACATAATAATTTGCTAGAAATTCAAATCATTCCTCTATGCATTCCCACAAGAATTTCTTCCGCTCAAATTAATGAGGGTATAGAACAACAGGCTAGGAACAAAGTGTTTGCAAAGTCAATAAAGAAAATGGACAAAGCAAACGGGAAAATCCGCAGTCCATGGAGGCTTCCTCGCCCCAAAGTTTGGGTCACGGATCACAAAAAATACTCACCCTGTGCTTCAGGGGCAGTAATTTGCTTGTGATCTGTGACCCAATCCTTGGAACTAGAAAGCCTCCATAAATTACAGACTTTCCCGTTTACCTTGTCCATTTTCTTTGTTGACTTTGCAGGCACTTTATTCTTAGCACGTTGCTGACACCCTCATTAATACGAAGCTCGAGAAAGCCTCCATGGAGACCTTCCCGTTTATCTTGTCCACTTTCTTTTTAGCATTTGTCCACTTTCTATTTAGCACAAGTCTGCGCTTCCGGTTAAAAGAAAAGAATGTATTGGTCAAACGCCATTTGTAGTTGGCGTATTGTAAACTGGTGCCCGCAATAAATCGTGATATTGCAGCAGTGCTTCTCGCAAGGATCTGGATACTTGTCCAGAGGTGGTCGCGATCGTGCACTCCACTAAGCATGGATATAATCCAATCAGCTGCTCCCATACTGATCTCTCGACTAAAATGCAGATGAACGTTTCTTTCACATATAATACAGTAATATTACTCGTATAAATTGGGAAATAAAAATGTACCTTTATTTGGAGGCGCTTTTTTGAGCGAAACTACGAGGGTGGCAACAGCTTTAAGAACAAACGATATCTCTGACAACCTGTACCTAGAAAAGAGTTTTATAATAAATACTTAAAATGACTTATATTTCAGATATAAAATCTCTATCAAAATAAACAAATATCAATTACAGAATAAAGCGATAATTTCCTTATCAGAAAGCTACAATACTGTTACCTAGGCAAAGGACACTTTCCGCTACGTCTTTCGCTCTCGATATATCGTCGTAAAACTTCTTGGAATCTGTGCAGAAGAGCCGTAACTGCCAATCGCCCAGCGATACCACCCTCGTCATTTTCCGAACTCTTCTTCAGGTCTTTATTTTCCGCATCATTGTTCAATCCGTCTAATAAAGAAAACTGCAACAGAGTCTCGAAGCAGGTTTTCGCAAATTCTTCCCGTAACTTTGTCTCTGCTCCATTTTCTGTAAAAGATAAAAAGATATTGAAGAATCTAATATGTCAAACACGTTTCATAAAGTTTAATTATTGATATACCGATATTTGCTGTAGTGGCTGAATGTATAGAGCCTTTATTCAAAAGCATAACAACTCTCAGGATAAACTGATGAGGTATATGCTGAGAATGTGGCAGGACTTCGTCTCTCAGTAACTCCATAACTTGACAATCCACCGCCTCATCAGCCTGGATCTCTTCAACCCCTCGTTCTGCATTCAGCACACTGCAATTTATCGAGAACAATCCACATTTAACAATGTTCTTTTAAAAAAAAGTCGAGAACATTTTTACCTTTTAGGGAACAGGAAACGTCCAGCGTGCTCGCAAGTTCGAGCCACATGCTCTGGAACTGTTCGGGATACTTTCTGGCGAGCGGCAGGCCGGTGTGCAAGACAGCCAACAGACTGGTCACGGCTAATTTCCACGTCGTTGCGGACGGACACGCGTACTTCATCGACAGCGGTACGTGCAGCGCTTCTACTACGTGCTTCAGCACTTGGCCGTCGATCACGGCCATTTCATGAGCAGTCTTCTGATATAGGCTCACGACCATCGACAGAGCTTTCTCGCCGAATGGAACGTAATTCATCGTGACCCAGTCGGCGGACACGCCTCTGATCTGCGAAATGTGTTTCGTTGGTATTTTACCGTAGGTCGGCGCCTCGCACGCCAGCTTCGAGAAGCTCAGCAATTGAAGGAAGATCAGCACGATCATCGTGCGCAAGTTGTCCGGGCCGTTTAACGCCTCCTTCTGCAGCAGCTCCATAGAATGCAGGACTTCGTCTTGCAGATGAGTGAGAACTACATCGGGCACTGACGGCAGGATGTACGGCGTCGATTCGCCGTGCACCGGTACGGCCACTGCATTCTTCAGTACAATACATAACTTTTGCAGATCGGGGCCGGTGAACTTGTTTCTGATGTGCTGGAAAACACCTGGGAATATGTGCATCAGTGCGGTGAGGAATGCTTGCGACGGCACGTAAGGCTCGGTGTCGCCCTCCTGCGGCGGCGCGGTGCTCTCCATTCCGATATTAAGCCACACGCGCCACGTCACCATCCATAAGCCTTCCGAATCGTTCGACTGAATCACCTCGGTGCTGTCGCTTCCCTTCGGCTGAAAGAGGATCTCTTGGAAAGATTTCAGCGCCGCTAAAGAGACCTCGTTATTTTTGCTGAGCGCGGAATTTTCGATGAACTCGAGGAGCAACGACCACGCTCTGGGAAAATCGCCTAACATTTGCAACAGCTGACGTTTCGTGTTGAATACTCGGGCTACGCCGCTTAACGTTAAAACCTGCGTTTCCGCCCATTGCTTCTGCGCCGTATTCCTGCTGTGATGAATGAGTATGTTTCCACTGGTATCGACCTTTTCACTGCTAGCCGAGTTCGACAGGCTTCTTACTTTGTCCAACAGCGGAAACAGTACCTGCCAGAGTACCGCTTGCCACGTAGGTTGATGCAGGAGGCTACCGTGCGCTGATATAGTGGAGAACAGGGTTTGGCTCGCTGATTTGCGCACGGCTGGCCGCGAATCGACGCACAAATCTCCAAGTCTCGCATACAGACACATCCAGAGCTTGTCGAACGGAGGCATGTTTGTTGTGCCGGGAAAATCGGGAAATACCGACGACGAGTCTCCGCGCAGGCAGACGCACAATTTCTCTTGGTTCTGGTAGAAGTAGTCGCTTATATTCCACATTAGACCGACGGCTGTGAGTGAAATATTTAATTCCTGCGTCTGCGATCCGAATTTGGCAGCTGTGTCGACGCAGAGCGGAAGACATCGCCAAGGCATCACCGGTAAAAAGTCCGTTACGACCAATTGCAAACATTGGAAGGCTATGCGTACTAAAGCTTCCCCGTGATGATCGGAAACTGCTCCTATTATACCGAGCACTAAAGGCCAGCCATGGTATAGTGTTTCTCCGGCGCCGTGAAGCACTTGTAAGACACATTCTAACTGCCGCTGCCTGACATCTCCATGACGCACGGACGATAACTCCGACAATGGTCCTAGCAGTAACGTTTGTAGCTTCTGATTATCGCGGAGCGGTTGCGGATATTTATGTTGAAGAGCCATCTTGACAAGATAAGTAATCGCTTCCACGCCCCACTCTCTCATACGGATGTGCGGGTGTTGACAGACTTCCAACAAATGGTTCGTCAGTGGTCTCCAGAGCACTTCTACACGTGGTAAGTTCACTAAGCCTGTCTCCAGCAGTTTGGCAACAGCGAACAATGAAGGTTCGCGATTAGAATATGCCAACTCCATAGCCTCGTGGCTCAGTTTGCACAAGGCATCTATTAAGTGATGCAAAGCGACATCATCAAGATGCTGGCTGCTCTCGAATAATCTGCTAAGCATAGCGCTGAGCACCGGTAAATCCGCCATGACTGCATTCGTCAACACTGCGTTAGGATCAGCAGCGGTTCTCCCTGCTTTTAAGGATCCTCCGGTGGAAGGTTTTAATCCAAGTATCCAAACGAGATGCTGAAGAGTGGTAAGTACCAAATGCCACGCGCTACCGAGTATGCTGCCGTGACAATGAGCCAATGATAATAGCGCGCGCATACATTGCAGATTTTTCGCAGTCAACATGACAGGACCCTGATGAGCACCTGGATGCATAAAAAAGTATAATTAGAGACTGCTCGAATATAAGCGGAGCGTATTGTGTTTTTCGGAACGTTTTCTAATTTTTTCAATTTTATAGAAAGAAAAACTAAGAAACCCTCCAAACAACCTGATACATATTTTATCCGTAAAATTATTACTCTACCAATTGGTAAGGACGCCGTCGGCAACGGCGTACCGACGGCAACTACTTGTTGTCTATAATCGGGCTCGCCCATCGTTAAATTGTACTGAGCATCTTGCTGTCTTGCCGTTGGTATGCCTTGAGGCGCGTTGTACAGAACAGTTAGAGCGTAATGAGGTGGTAGCGAGGCTTTACATATCGCAGTGATGAAGGCGTCACGTGGTGCTTGCAATTCCAATTGGCCGCAAAGTGACGCAAAGGTCTGAATTGATTTCAAGACATTCTCCGTCGCTGATTCATCCGTGCTATAAATTCATCATTGCATACAGACTCGAGAATTTTTTTAAATACAACATAAAATTTAAGTGAAACTACTACCTAGCATCTATCAATGGACTGAGAGCCGCCAATAGACCGCACCAACTAGAGTTTATTAATTGTACATGAAGTTTCCGTTCGGATTCGCTCGGCTGATAGGTCTGACCTTCGGTACTATCATCTTTCGATCCATTTATGGCCAGCGAGATCGATCTTATGATATCTAGTAGGCACGCATAAGCTATACTGATTCCGTAACCAATCGGTATTTGTGGTGGCTCAACTTTGTCCAGCATTTCCAAACTAAAATAATTGTGCGTTGCAATTAATTTTTTTAATTTTATCGTGAAAAAAATATAATAATATTGAGACTTACTATGTTGGCTTAGCTTGCCCGCTTGTAAATGTTGCTACTACTGGTAACCATATACCGCGCGAATAAAAACCAGGTTGAGGCGATACGCCAGGTCCGATAGGCATTCCGGTGAACAATGGCGAACCTGTGCTTTGAGGTACAGTTGTACTTGTTACTGTTACAAACAGAAAAGATTGTCAACATATTATTACAAAAATATATTACAAAAAAATCAAATTTGCTATTAATCTATCGACATTATTAACATATTGTTTACTGGATGTATATTTGTATGTACGTGTGTGTTGAATAAAAATGTAGAAAAATATATTTCTAAAATATATTCTTTGCAAGCAAGATTTTTCGAATAAACTAAAACTTTTCATGGTATTATTAATTTTATAATACCTGTTTGACTCATCATCTGTGGATTCACAAAGAGACTATGTACATAAGCACCTAAGCTATTGACAATATCTTGAAAAATATTTGTAGCGTGTGGTTTTAAGTCATAACATTCACAGAAATTTGTCAGCAAATCTGCCTGCACTGTCATTTTATGCAAAACTTCCAAAGCTAAAGCTCTCTGCCAAGTAGGTTTGTCAGGATCCAGAAATTTCACAATTAAAGATAAAAATATTTCACATTCTGTCACCTAGAATATTAGAATCTCATTTTTAATTATGCTGTTCATTAAATTTATATATAATAATAACATATAAATTCTAGTATATATATATACAATACTTACCAACAACGAATGATATTTCTGTATTAAAATCGACACAACTCGCAAAAGTCTCATACTAATAGGAAAGTAAGGTTTGTCCAAAGGAGTGGCTTGTTGCAAAGAAGCTGGCACTGAATTACGATACTTGATGTTAGGCGAAAATAGTTTTATCACAAGTGCACACACTCTTTCTTTAAGTAAGAAGCTAAATTCTGGATGCTAAAAATATAATAAATTTATAATCTTTATATAATTTTGTATAACAATACTTTTTGTGTTATTTTTCTATCTTCAAAAATATATATCTCTTAAGTTACTTATTTATTTTATTGATATCTTGATTAATACCTTAAAAAAGACTGATGAAAAATTTGTTAAAACTGATTCTAGTAGCTCCAAACCAAATGTTCTAGTCATTTCTGTAATGCCTATTAACCAGTATGGTTGATCAGCATTTACTAATTGAACTAGATCCTAAAATAAAATGTAAGATATAATAAATCAAAATTAATTATATTTTATAAATTTATATAATTATGTTCACAGTATAAAATTACCTGAAACATTAAGTATGCATCTGCAGCGCAAGGACCAAGACCTTTAGGCGCTTGATTTGTTGGAATTTTTAATTCCTCTAAATTAACTTCATCAGATTCTGATTGATCAGGACTCTGCTCATCCTCAGCAACTACTCTTTCAAACACCAAAGATACCAGTTGTCTTACAGTAGCACCCGCTGTATTTATCGTTGTACAGTCTTTTGTAAAATGTAATCGGAAACAGAGCACCAAATTCTGGAAAGATATAATTCTCGATAAATAAAATATTGAAAATATCCTATTTAAAAAATATTAAAAAAGACCGATGACAAAGATTTAGATATAAATAGATTCTTACTCGTGCAAGAGTATCTCCATGTACCACAGCGTTACTTGTAAGTAGTAGAGTTACAGTTTGCAAGACTTTAACTTCTTCTGTACCAGATTCCATTAACAACCATAAGGTATCTGTAATATATCGGGCGCCTTTCTGATCTACTGCTTGCTGTGTTATTAGCCTCTGCATCATGCCTAAGCAAAACTGAAAAAAATACAAACACTCAAAAAAATGTCAACAGTTTCCAGATAACACATAAAGATAAGGCTTAACAGTTAATACCTTGATAATTTTTAAATCTTTACTCTCACAACCCTGAACTAAAGGATAAAGTATTTGATTTACAATATAATATATTGGCGTCCCTGGGTTATTTGTTGCAGTCCTTAACTTTGCAATACCTTCTTCACATGACTGCAAAAAAAACATATGTTATAATGGTCTCACTAAATTTAAATAATAATACATTTTCCTATATATATACAAAAAAGGCAGTTTATTCATTAAATATTGCAATATTTAAAAATAACAAAGCAACACAGTATTACAATTACCAACATAAAATTATTTAAACCCAATATTGTTATCTTACATATCAGCTCTTATAAACTTAATATGTAAACGTATCATGAAAGTTATATAACGTATAGTTTCAAAATTACAATTTAACGTTTGAGAAGAAAACAAAATCTGATGAAAAAAGCAGAATTGGAGCTTCCAGTTTCAATGGCTAACCTATTTAGAATAAGCACTGATCCCATTTATACATACCTCCTTGATTTGCGGGTACTTTTTCTTGGTCTCTGAGGCAAGTACTTTAAGATCTGACTGCAGAGCCTCTAGGAACTTGGAGGTGTTCTCCGGATTACTGCCGACGACGGTGTTCGCCATCGTTGACATTGCCATTGCTTACGTTTACCTAAATCAACACAATTTTCACGAGCAGGCGCATGATGTCTCGCCGTCTAGCTAGGACGTTAAGCGTGATGTTCGCCCATCAGGCAACGCTGATCATTGACGACAATAACAACAGATAAACAATGACAATCCATCGGGATCGCCCTTGAGGAATCGCCGCGCTCGCGGATCACATCGGGCGGGTCGTCGTGCTCATAAACAGCAGCCACGAAAGCTGCTACTAATACGGCACTCGTTAACTCGTTCCGTCAAATTATTCACTCGTTTACTCAATATCGATGTAATTGCGATAAATTTTTGTCACACAACTAGAAAACCTTTCTGCAATCGTACAGTTTGACCAAGTTTGACATACGATTTGATAGACACGTATGCAGCTGTGCAGCGCTGCTGTTGCGCTGTTACCATTCTGTCATTGAGGCGTAAGCTGCGTTTGCATGAACCAAACGCGCGTAATTTTATAAATTTGAAAAAAAAGTTAATTCCATTTAATTATTGAAAAAATACATTACGTATATAAAATAATGTAAATACATGTAACATATAATAATATATAACATAAAAAATAGCTTTTTTGTACTTAAAATTTTGAATAAATTTATTAACATTTAAAAAAATAGAAGATTTATAAAAAAATAAATTATGTAACATTAATAGCTAAAAAGAGCAAAAAACAATAAATTTTATTTTATTAATTATAATTTATTCTTTAATTATTAAAAATTTTGACTTGGAAACTTGTAAGAGCTGAAATTGGTGCGCTATGGATTGCTGAGTATTACGTCTCTAACCTCAAATTGAATAAATATAACCTGAAATAACCGTCTTATAATAGTTAATAAAAAAGACGATTATTGTTGAGAATTATCATGTCACTTTGGCGAAGGGGACAGGTTTGTCTGTTCTTGACATTACAATTATAATTTTTATAATTTTCATATATATATATTTTATAACAGAACGATATTTGTCTTACATGTTTGCATTCTTTATTTATGTTGACGAATCTTTGTAAACTTTAAATGCAATTTGTTTTCAGCAATGGGGAACACTTGCTCGTATCTGGCATCTATATGATGCAACATGGCAAGATCCATATAAAAGTGCAAAACTAATAAGACATTATCTTATGGGAATGCATAAACCAATATATCATCCATTGAGTAAGTATTGCAGTCACAGTAACATTTTTCATTTTTATTATTTATTGTACATATTTATATCACATATGTAAAAAGTTGTTTTATTGATCTCTGTCAAGTTCTTGTATGAAAAAATATTAATTGCTATTTCATTATATTTTTATAGGTATATTAATACTTTATATATTAATATTTATTAATATATCAATTTAAATTTTGTCATGGAAAGAATACAAATTAATTTAATAAAAAATGTTTTTAATTATTAATTTGTGCTTTATTATTTTTATATAGGTGATTGTGGAGATCATGTAGTAGTAATAAACAGCAAGGAAATTGCACTGCGTGGAGACGAATGGAGAAAACGTGTATATTTCCATCATAATACATATCATGGAGGTGCCAGTTGGACACTTGCATGGGAGTTACATAACAAGGATCCAACTTTGGTAAATAATTTTTTACTATTATAAACATAATGTAAAATTTTGCTAGATAATTATATAATTGTATGTATGAATTTATACAGATTATACAAAAGGCTGTGTACTCAGCATTACCGAAAAACTTACAACGGAGGCATACTATGCAAAGACTACATGTAATCCCAGATGACAAAATACCCGAAGATATGTTGAAAAATATTAGCAATCAAATCAAACAGCAAAGGCCTGTCCCTGTCCGATTAGATCATATTCCACAGGAAGAAGTAGACAAATTCCCACAAATTTTACGATATCCTACTGATTATGTTCTCAAATAACAGGATTAATGTAAATATTATAACGAATGTATACATAATAGTACATTTAAGCCCAAACTTTAATTGTTAACTAAATCAAATTATTTACATAATTAAATAAAAAATATTTGTGTTTATTCCATAATTTTGTTTCTTGATTATCATTATTTGCCTAATTCAGAAAAATATATTAATATACAATTATAAAAGTATAAATATACATATTTATTAACTGTCATCATTAATATATCTAATAATCTAATATATCTAATAATTACAATCACAAATTACATTATGCCGTTAAAATTTTTCCCATTTTTCTGTAATTCTCGCTGATTCGTCTTCGTTGTCATTTACAATTACCGAGTACGTACGCGCAGTATTCCACTTGTCTTTCCGCTGTTTTTCAGTCTGTTCTTCCAAATCATCTTTCGATTCTATGACATTAATTCGTGATTGTGATAAATTTTTCCCATACAATTCAGACCCTTCTATGTCAAAACCATAAGAGTTGTACAAAAGAGGTACATCGCAGAATGGACATTGCGGTTCCTCATATATTTCTTCCATGCATGGATGAAAAATTTGGTTGCATATCGAGCATTCGCGATATTCCAACGATGTTATCTGTAACAGTGTCAAAGTACACCTGGGCAACTTGTGGCCCCGAGAACACGATTTAGTGTTCAAGGACTCATCTATCACTTCATCGCACAAATTGCACTTCTCAATCTGATTGGGATGAGATGCAATCTTATTCAATGTTTCCCGAGCGTATCGATGCACAACGTTCTCATTCCCCTCATCTTGATCTGCAAGGTACATTTTTAAATATTTGTTTAATAAGCTCACGGCGTGCATCTGATCCACTGATAGCTTGCTCTTTTTCATCGTATTGTCGATGTACGTGCAAATGGAGTGTACATGGATTAATGGAAGCGCATTCGCTATCTTGCCTTCTTTTATGTGATTCATATTCAGCATTTGCGTTTTTGTGGTGCACACATTGATCATAACTGTCATCCACATTGATAATTGCAAATCGTATAGCGACGAAGAGTCTAGCTTCTCCGGAATCTGACGTAATATCACACTTGGATCTTCTGCTTTAGCAGCTTTGATCCTAAGCACTTCTATGCAGTCCCAAACACTTATGAGATTTGTACTGTTATTAATAATACGCAATGGATCCTGCACTGCACCTTTTAAAGCGAATATATGCATTGTACTCGGCTCCTTTGTCACTAAATGATCATAGATTGTATTCGGACTGGCTATATTTATAATCATTACTTTGTTTGGCGAATAAGTGAGTCCTAAGTACTGAACATGTGTCTGAGGTAAATGAGTTTGGATATCGATGCAAATTAAATCGTTTAATCGTGTATCAACAATAAAAATATGACTGTTCTGTGTGGAAATCATAAATTGTTGAGCAGTAACAGGGATCATACCTGAAACAATACACATTAGAATATATTTTAAAGATAATTTAAAGCATTTAACATGACAGCATATAAGACAAAGTATAGAATATGCTTATATATATACATTTAATTCTAAATTAAAACTCTTAGATATTTACCTGTAATATTATATCCTTCCACTTGTAAATGTTGCATATCTTCCAGTACTCCTGTCGAATTTATACACAATAACAAAAGAAAAACGCCTTTGGCAGCAACAATCCTTACATTTGATTTATCTTGAGAGAGAACATATAAATAATTGACCGATATATGATCAGGAGTGATATATCTTTCTATCACTGCTACTTCCAGATCATCAGCATTACATATTAATTTTATGCCATATATTTGGCCATCAAAACATCCAACAATAAGTAAATGTTCCTTTGCATCAATAGTGATCCAACACAATACATTAATCTTTATAGTCTTGTCTAGATTTATTTTATTAACAAGCACAGGTTGCAAACTTTCAGAAAAATTTGAAATTCTAGGAATTCTCCAAATTGATATTTCGCCACTGCGATAAGCTATAGAAAAATATGCAAAGAAAACTTCTTTTACTTTGAAAAGTTCACTCCATGTCATAGAGCAAGCTTGTAACTGTCTCATGCTTTCACTTATTACTGCATACTCATTATTCAATTTTTTACATTCATTGAGCTTTGATTTAATTTCATCTTGCACAATCTTAAGCTGAAGAGATGAAACGTCGCATATAGAATACCATTCATTGGAAACTTTATGTAACAATTCAATCGCACCTGCTACTGTCAATATTGCTAAGACACATTGATTTGGAGAGATTAAATTTTTCGGCGACCATGCTACCTTTGTTATTCTAACGATTGTCTCATTTAAACCGTCCAACTTTGGTGTAATTGCCTCTTCCATGAGCAGTGAGTAAACTGCTTCACGATCTAAATTCCATACAAACGAGTCTATCTGATTTATAAATGCATGTGCTGGTAAAATGTCAGAAGGATGTACAAAAGACCGAGCAAACTTGACGAACGGATTAGAAGACATGGGTGAAGGTATCAGTTCCTGTAACATAAAACAGTATCGAAGAGGTTATTTTAAAAATCTAGTCTATTTGATATTTATAAGTAAACGTATTTAAAAAATAAGTCAATAAAGTAGTACAGAAAAAAAATATGTCAATTGCACAAATCACTTATTAGTACCAAAAGTGATTAACTTATATATTTTGGAGATATGTGTAAATAAGCACAACTTACGAATACATGAACTCCCTTTTCTGTAATTAATGAGATATGATTATCAGGTGACCATTGTATTGCAAATGGGCTGGTCACCAGTGGAGATATACTGATACTACAAATTTCCTCCGTGTCCATCTTACAACATTAATATTGATCAGTCAATTAGCCTCTCGTCTCAAAACATCGCGCCATTTTTGACATACAAGCAGACAGCATCAGGTTTGATACTTGTACCTGAACTTTCTGTACTAATCCAAGAAGTGTACACTTCTTGCTAACAGAAGATGGCGACGTCAGATGGTGCTGTTATTTAAATAGAATAATTGTAAGTAACATTAGACATTAATTATATGTTTATAACAAATCAAATGTGATTTTACGTTTTTAAAAGTCAATCTCTTTGTTGCTCTAATTTTGCGCACTAATTGAAGAGATTTCTCATCGCTTCCTTTATCACACTTTTTTTTAAATTATTTTCTGTGATTTCCTTGTGAATTGCTATTTTAAGTTGCAAAAAGTAAGTCTCGTGTTCGAGAATTTTAAATTTTAAAGCATTAATTAAATAAATTTTAAAACAAGAAAAAAATATTTAAAAAAAATAAAGATTGCAATTTTATTGTTGGAAATAGCTAATCACAGCTAAGTAAATGCTATGCGATGTTGCATTCTTGGTCTATTTTGTTCGAGCACACTAGCGGGTAGTTTAAGAAAATGCAAATGCAGAAAGGAATCACAAAGAGAAAATTGATAAAATTAAATCACATCTTGAAAGATAGGACATAAAACGTATCGTGCTTATTAATACACTTGAAATATTTATTATTTGTACTATCAGTAAAACAAAATAAAATACAGTGAATCGAAATAATTTGCTAACAATAAATAATTCCAATATTATATCGCGATACTTATTATGAATCTAATTATCGCGCACTATGCGTCGAATTTACATTGCAACGAGCAAAGTCGAGCGTATGTTTCTGGATACATTTTTACGATTCATATATTAGTGTACGAAATCGCATTTTAACAGATAATAGTGGAATAAAATATATAATTCTACAATATTCCATAAATGTTAATACGATTAGTATTTGCATATAATAGACTTCACTTTACATTCGTATAAATGTTGAGTGAGACACAAGTATCATACAAATGGCAGCAATAACATCAAAATTATATCTTTTATTCCACTCAGACGTCATCTATATAAATTTGTTATTAGTATTGCAACACGAACGCCTTGTGTCGCACATATCCCATACCTCGCTACTACTTTGCTCTGCCGACGCCGCGGATCTAACGACAGGTACATGAAATAAATTAGGTAATACTAGTTTATTAAATAAGATGCGATAATAAAACGCGTCTATTTGTAGAATCTATGGCAGCATAAATATGCGCACGGGACAATCCCGGAAATCCGTATTGTTCGTTCGTCCGTTCGTCGTATACGACTAGATGACGGCTTGGGATACCCGGTACATTATTGATACTAACCACTCGTGAGCGGTAATAAATTCAGCCGTACGAATTCTTAACCGACGGCTTTTTATAATGTCTACGACTATACATCATTGTACTTCATCATTTACAATAATTCTTGACGATAGCCTTACGGAAAAAATGTTTTAATTTAAATAACTTAGGTTGATGTTTAACACGATCTTTTTGAGAAAAAGAGACGCAGACCATACTTTGCGCGTTAAACACGATATTAAATTAATGCGAAAGTACGGGTGTCACAATAAGTGCAAACACAGTTTAAGTGCTACCACGATAAAAGTTTAATAGATGATATTCTCTACGAGCTAAGAGACGATTGCATCAATATTGATCAGCACTAATATTAATTAATTAGATTTTTATTCTTCTTTGTATTATAAGTATTTAATTAGAAAAATTGATGATTAAATTTGGGAATCAATAAAACTTTCTAAAAGTATTATTATGTGTAAACTATTTGTAACATTTTTGATCAATTATTAATCGCGCGTAAAAATATTTCTGAATTTTACTGGTTTTAAAAGCTTTTAAAGGATCATAATTATATAAAAATAAAAATGATTTGTTTTTACATAAAGATATTAACATCTTTCTATAAAGAAATTAATTGAAATTAAGAAGTAGACTTGTAAAATTGTTTGAGAGAGAAGTATCGTAGTGTATTTTATGGAAATATAATTTACAATACAGTGGCCTATTATTTAATTAATCCACTCTCTTAGCAATATAAATATTGAAATTAATTTTAAACAATTTTAATACCAATCAATGACGATGCAATCGAGTTCACAGGTCTTATTTGATTCCAAGATGAACTCGGCGATTCAGCTAAAATGTTGTGAGTTTTCACAAACTTCCGCATCATCTTTCACGCGGATTATATAATGTAATTGCTACGATGACAATAAATAATTTATGTACAAAGCCAGCGAAGCTTTTTGTCGAGAGAGTATGAGGGGCCGAGGGCAGTGTCGGATGTATCCGTTTCCGGCGTTCGATTGATTGCTGGCTCTCCGCTTCGCGTCAAATTGCGTCTTGAATAAAGAACGACAAATTTCGACGATCTATTGCGGTTGCACGCGTTACATAATAGCCGTTATCATGATATCCTGTAAAAAAACAAGTAAATTAAGAGAAATTAAAAAAAAACTCTAATATTACCTTCCTAATCTTAAAGAAAAATTGAAAATAAGTTAAAAAATGTTTGTAAATATTATTTTCCAATTCTTTTCATTCTTAGCCTTACACTGCTTTTATAAAAAAACAATCTTTCGAATTCTTCCTGAAATGTTTCCAACTGTTTTTCTAATAGTTTTAAATCAATCTCTAACATTTTAAGGATTAAAAATTTGTCAATTCGTAGAATTTTATTAACTTTTTGTATTCTCACCTTACAGAATGATAACGAACGGCTGCATTATCAAACAGGCGAGCTCGCTGCCGACTGAAGCGGAAATTATAGGGGTGTTAGCTCGACCGGTGGCTGACCCATCTTTGTTCGTAAAGTCGTAACGTCATCTTCTATCTTGATCAGCAATTTGTATTTCTGTAAAAAGAGGTACATTGTGAACATCTCTGTCAATAAACTGGACATTGCGCGTACTCACCGTTCTATTATCGCCTGGCGTAGTCATCCAAGCATAGACCATGTATCCGGGTATACAGAGCATAGAGGATAACGCTGTGAACCAGCCAAATACATGCGACCACCAGGGATACTCGTAATCCAAATATTTTATAGGTGTCCATTGAATCAAGTTGAAGATAAATACGCCCTGATTTCAACATTAACATTTTTATAAATAACTTTTTTTATTTACAAATTGAAATATTACTAATGTAAAATTAAATAAGAAGCAAAATTCATATTCCTCGCGACGACTACGTAACAGTTTTACGAGTCAACGAAAGAGTTAACACTAAAATTAAAGTAAGAACAAAATTAAGCGATTATTTGACAATTTACGTGCTACTTTTCTCGTGCATGATTGATTTATAAATTGCATATTTACAATGCAGATCATCGGCGTGGTCACTGTCCAGCAGAATTTCCACCACATGAGAGGATAATATCCGATCATGTCCCTTAGAGCATCATAGAATCGGCTCACACCGAACGCCCAGCTGATCGATATGCATTCGAAGAATATTAGGAAGAGCAGACAGAAGCCGGAGACAGCGTACGAATCGAGGATTTGGAAGACGTACATGCCACCCTGAGAGATGCAAGTCAGTCCTACGATATAAGACAGAGCGCACACAATGGCGATAAAGATTTCCTTGCGACGACGTAACTGTTGAGGCCACTCGTCCACCTGGAAAAGGTATCCGATCGATTTAAGACGATTATCGTGTTACTGGTTCGATAAAAAATAAAATCCTGCAGCAGGAAGAATGTATGCCAGTGATTATGAAAGTGGACTAAGTAAAAAATCTTGAAAAATTGATTTTATCACTCATTTTGCGTTACATCAATTCATAAAATCGAAATATCTGAATAAACAAAAAATATATGACTTGGTTCGCTTTTATAATCACCAGCACAAAATAATGTATATTAATAATGTATGTCAAAAAACATTAAATTAAACGATAAATAAAATTAATTGAAAAATTTATGAGATAAAACTGCTCTGCTATTTTAAGAAAGTACCATAGCCGTGACGAAGCCCTCCATTGTACAGAATTGGGAATCGAGTCCGATGAGTAGCAGCATGAAAAAGAATAGGCACGACCAGAGCGGAGCACCCGGCAATTGGAGAACAGCGGATGGATAAGCGAGGAAAGCCAACCCCGGCCCAGAAGCAGCCACTTCGGCGACCGGTTTTTGCTGCTCGTGCGCCATAAAGCCTACCACCGAGAATATCACGAAGCCCGCGAACATACTGGTAGACGAGTTCACGGAACAGACGATCAACGCGTCTTTGTAGACATTGTTGGTGAACTTGTTGTAACTGCCAAGCGCCACCAGAGTACCGAGACCGAGACCGTACGAGAAGAAGATTTGTGTCACTGCGTCGATCCACACCTGTGAATTTGATTGCGCGTAGGTACGTCAGCGTCAAATTGCAGCATTGTGTCCATAAACATTAATTGAAGGTAATAAAATGTTTTGAAATTATTTTACAGATAACTGATTTTATAAGTAAATGAAAGAAAATACATTTACCTCGGATTCTCGAAGTTTAGACAAGTTCGGACTGATGTAAAACCGGATACCTTCCATGGCGCCGGGTAATGTGATACCACGGATTAGAAGAATAGTGAGCAGCACGTACGGAAAGAGGGAGGTGAAATAGACAACTTTGCCGGTCCACTTGACGCCCTTCCAGATACAAAAGTAGCAGATTATCCATACTAGCAGCAAGGTACCCGCTAATTCCCATCGAATATTGCCCATGTATTCAATACCCTCGCTGATCTGCAACGCTCGACGTCTGAAAGACGAAAACGCAATATTGTTAAAAATAGATCATGCAAAAATTTTAACACATTAAAAGTAATTGTCTGACGTAATTTTATTTATTTTTAATAAGATTGGTTAGGTGGTGAATAAATTATTTCGATTTAAAAAAAATTGTTCAACATCCTTGATGGAACTATTTTTTTTTTTCTGAAAATTTAATGAAATTTTGTTGAAATGTATTTGAAAATTTCTCTCAATTGACTCCATTAATTAATTTCATAAATATTTCAGCAATTTTTCATTAAAAAGTGACAATTTTCAGTTTAATTCAGTAAATTTTATAATGATAATTATTTCAAAACTCTTTTATTACTTTTCAGCAGTATATTTTAACTTTCCTTATATTTCATAGTATTACATTAAATTTTTATACGGAAAATTATGATTCAGTAATTTTTCAAAAACTTTCATTTTACTTTTCATTGATTTCATAGTACTTTCAGCAAAATATTTCCGTCAGGGATAATCTTGTTAGAAAAGGCGCAAATTATGCATTTGAGAGAAAATAAAAAAATGATACTTATACTGACTCCCAGAACTCTTTTACAGGATCCGTCAGCTCTGTCACCGACACGTTGACATGATTGAGCGTGCACATCTTGACGACGCTACCATTCCGTGATGAGACCTCAGACCAGCAAAGTAGCGAACTTCTGTCGTAAGGATTCACGCAATACTTGGTGTTCCAATGGTTGTTACAACTTCCCCAAGGCAACTCTGTGGACAATTCGAGACGACGTAAAGTACTAGGTGAAATATTTTATCCTCACATCTCATCATCAAATTTCTTCTATTTTGTGTTTACGAAAATTTATGATTCGTATTTATGATGCAAATAAATTCAGTGTGCTCACCACTGCGCATCGACATGAAGAAATAGAAAATTGCCCAAGCCAGGATGACAATGTAGTAAACATTCATCCAGCAGGACATGACAGCGGCGGCGTAACCGATGCCCTTAAAGATCGGAGCTATCTTGAAGACTCCGAGGCCGCCCACCGTGAGCATCTGTCCGAGAGCCAACTCCATGAAAAACATGGGTATACCGGCAAGGAAGAGCGTCAAGAAATAGGGAATGAGGAAAGCTCCGCCACCATTTTTATAGCAGAGGTAAGGAAATCGCCAGACATTGCCGAGACCGATTGCCAGACCGACCTTGAGAAAATAGCAAAGTATGATTATAAGACAAGTTATGTATTTCCGCATTCAGTTGGTATACGAGAGGTTTGCGATGAAAACACTCTTCTTTTTTTTATAAATGTTATAAATTTTTAGCATATAATCTTTTGTAATTTAATATCTGTAGAAATATTTTTAAGCATTTTGTCGATATTTTGTGTTACACAGTTGTACTTGCTAATATTAACGTAATGAATACATTACCACACTAAGAATGAAGTCCAGTTTGGTGCTCCATGTTCCACGCTCTGGAAGAGGTTTTTTGTTCGTCGTCGAACAAGTCAAGTTCAACGCTGTTCTGCCGTTGTCAGCGTTTTCTGAATCGGCTACCTCAGGATCCCGTGATGCCTCTGTCATGTTTGTGGGCTTTTGTGGGGAGGCCCACTCAGTAATCTCGATGTTCTTTACTTCTATGTGCACTCCGCCTGATTGTCCACTAGTATCGTCTCAAATGCGAAAATGATTGTGAGACATAACACAATACCTACGAAATGAATTTTACGTCTTATACATTCGAAGACATAATTCGAAATAAATTTTGAATGTGTGTTTTGCATTTGAAAAATTAAAAAAATGCAAATAGTGGCTTTTTTCAAACAAATGCAATATGTGTTTTTTTTTAATTAAAAAAATTAATCAAACTTTTTTATAATTAATATTAAAATTATTAAAATGTCTTAAACAATTATGATAAATACAATATCAAATATAATCTGAATGCTCGGATCAGTTTTCAAATTGTAACATCAGAATTGTCTTCTTCTCTGTTTCGAAATGTTTTGACCGAGTTCTTATTTTTTGTGAGCCACGGATGTTCCTCTGGTTTTCATTGTCCGTAAAATTTGCGGAAAACGATCAAGTGCTCGGGTTGGAGATAAATGCTTTTGGGTTGCAAAGAAGTGAAAAGCTGACTAATCATAGTGAGCATTAAAGCGAACTACCGAGAGAGCAGTCGGCTAAGAATATGCGTTCTTCTATTAGATAATTAGGCTCTGCCCGCATTGCGTCTCAATAGTCGACGAATATTAAAGTCTCGTCTGATTCGCAATATGCCAAGATATTATGTGCTAAAGTGAAATCTGTGTGGTTGTACGAAAAAATCGTCGATTGAGCTTGAATGTAAGTATATTTTTATTCATGAAGCATATATTGATTTGTGTATATGTAAATTAACGTTTGTAAAAAAATTGCGTATATATATACTAATAAAATAAAAGTAAAATTATTACAGATAACAACGGCAACAATCATTACTTTTAATTATTATAATTTTGGAAATTGCAAATAATTTTGTAGCGTTAATTATTACTCTTTCATTAGAACTGTTTCAAAAAACTGAGAAATTTTTTAAATTAATTCCATGTTAATTAATTTTATATGTATTTGCAGAAACGTATATAAAATTAAATAAAAAAATCAATATCAATATCTGAAAAACATCAGCTCACATTCAAATAATCAAGTGTTTCTGATTTCATCTTTCAAGCTCGTTATTACAAGTGCTAGCAATTTGCCTTTAAAATTATTTTAAGTAATTTACATTTAACGAATGTTTTCCAGAGCAGCAGCAGCAAATCGCAGTAGTGGTTCAATTCAATTTGGACCCGTTAAATTTATAAATTAAACAAGAATTTCACGTAATCAACGAAAACTTGCGGTGGATCCTGCAAGAAGAGCAGCAAGGTATCCTCCGAGATACGCAGAAGGAAGAGGGTGGATGGTGACCATTGGTGCAGCACGTTAAATGCGAATGTCCGGCAAGGGGGCCGTATAATAAATATCGCGATGGTGCGTGTTTCCTTGCTCCTCCCTTCCCACCACCGCCACCCATCCCACCGGCTCCCTCTTCCTCTTCCACGCTCATAAAAAACAGCTATATTCTAATTAGCCGAGGATGTGTCGTTCCGCGTGTTGCTGCGACCGAGATTTTTGTTACCAACCCTGTGTCGCGAATTTCATCTCGGCCAGAAATCGAAATATCGCAAATTTTTTTGTGCAATTGATCCCTTTCTGTATTGCAAATGTTTTTCAGGAAGTGCAATTGACAGACACAAATCGAGAAACCAATTGTGAGCACGTGGTGTCAAAGAGTTAGACACACTGCAATACTTTAAGACACGTGTTCTATATATGACAGTTTCATTGCCCACGTGACAAAAGTGTCAAATTTTGTATCTTAACTTAGACTGTGGAAAGTTAAGCAATAAATGATTCTGAATAATATACGTATATATTTTATGTCATTAATAATTTAGTTTACTGATTAATATATCACTTCTTTGACTTCGTCAAATTAGCACACTTTAATTGTACTGAAATCGTTCAACTGATTATCGGTATTTTTAAACATTCTTCATGCTATTTCAAATTCTGTTTTTACATGAACGATACCTTGCAATGTGCTTTAAAGCTACCAGTCATTAGTTATTCACTAATTATGTGAATTAATAAAATAAAATTATTGTTATTTTTATTTAGATTCAACATTTCATCATTTTGACTTCCAAAGAATCTACGAACCTTATTGGATTTGATGATGGAACTTCATATGAAAATTTGTTAGTTTTTTGCGAGACAATCACGAGCAAACTGATGTGAGACAGCACAGCGTCACCTCGTCGTCGACGAGCGGAATGAGTCTGATTTGTTTTTACACACTGCACTTCCTAAGCACTCTTGATGGGCGCGCGAGACGTAGTTTCGCGCTCGTCGCCGGAGCAGCCGTACGGTATCGTTTTGGGATCAACGCGAATCTTAGGAGATTGCTCAGTGATTTAACAACAGAGATCCTCAACGATCGATGGATCTCAGATAACTTGGGTAACGTTCTCTGCGATGGGCGTTTCGATTGCGAAGTGAAAAATTGATTTGTCAAGCGCAAAATCTTAATTATTCGGAGAATCACCGATGATTTCAAGAAATAATTTCGAAAGATGATCTCGAAAGACGATTTGCACAAATGTACTGACTGAAGAACGCGACGCGTATACCAAGAGAGGAGAGAGAGAGAGGAGCCGACTCTCTACGTTGTGAGCGCGAGTGTTGCCCGCGGGATACTGTGTAATCGGTCTGCGATCGGTCCAGTCTCGGGTCTTCCGTGCACGTCGCGTCAGCCGGCAGTGACTGAAATCACGTACAGGAAGAAAATCGGAGGTTCCCCCCTTTTTTTTTTTCCTTTCCCCCTTGCCCGCAATCCGCGCCACCCGCGCGCCCTTATGCCCTCCGCGTGCCCCGTTAACGTTACGTTATCTGGTGATAACGTGTGTTACATGAGCGAAAAAGAGCGAGGTGGAAACAGGGGATTGAGGGGAGGGGCAAAAGGTGGCGGAGGAGAAGAAAAGGGGTCACACCAAGATCGTAGCAGTATATCATCATCAAGTTGACATCTATACTCTCCCTACATCTCCAACCCTCTCTCCCGCTCTCTTTTTCGCACGTTCGCAATTGTATTTTTTTCCTCTCTTCCTTTTCCCTAGTTTCGCATTTCTGTTCCCCCCGCGATGCCGTGCAACTCACAATTCCCTCCTGGACAGCGATGCCAGCCCACCTCGTCTCGTCCGAATCTTCCTGCGTGCGTGCACGCGCTCTCTTCCTCGTGGGCTTTAACTATGTCGGAAGGATACGTGATTTAACGCTTTCGGGATCCAGAATGATTATATGGTGATAGAGATAGTTTTTCGATAAGAACATAGTGTACGTCGAAATTAAACTGCCTATGTTTTTTTCGATATAAAACACGAAAACGATGATTACTTTTCTAAAAATCCATCTAGCAACATTTTGGATAAAAATAAAGTTGTAATAAGTTTTTCAAAAATTTTTTTATTTATAATATACAAAACAATGGTGATTATTTAATACAGTTATCAATGGCATAATTGCTGAAAGCCAAATCATAATTTCAAGAGAAAAACGGAAGAGATTTTAATTAACGTATGCATTAAGTGTTTTTCTTACATTCTATTTATTATATTGGCAGATCTAAATATTTAAAGAAGTAAACAAAATGGTCTTATATGTCGGATCTTATTTAGAGCATTGCTAACCACATATCCGGAGCAATTAATTTCTTGACGTACATTTCGTAGGCGCCGCAATGACAACAGCTGCAACTTTGACGTAAGAAAGTAACAAGTACGATGTAATCTTCCAGGATCTCGTATGTAGAAGTTTTATTGAAGAAAATATGTAGTTTTTTATTTACTCAATAACACTTTGTAAATTGTACTTCGAAAAGATTTAGAAAAGAAGAATTAGGTCTACATTAAACAATATTTATTTAAGAATTAGATTTTAAACAATAATAATATTATACGATGTATAATGTTATGCATAATTATTTCTTTTTAATTTCTTCGTATCGTGCATGTCTCTTATAATCCTTTATTATCACCTTTCCCGGATAATCCTCATTAAATGTGTTTGCTAAGAAGATGAGATCGTTGATTGATCTTGGATCATTTCCATTCTGTTTTTGCATTTTAATTTTACATTTCAATTTAGCAGCGATAATTGTCCCACTATTTACGAAAACAATATGTTTTGTAAATGATTGTGTAATTAAAACCATTGAAAAACAGCAAATTGAGCTATACGATGGATGTAAAACTCATATCCATCATTTTCATATAGAGTATTTAATTTTTGATCTAATTTCTTTATCGTGCGACCAACGAAAAAAAAACACACCCAAGCTTCCGGACCATTAACCCGGATTAAGCGCTATCGACGTGAAAACAAAACGCGCATTTATTACGCAATTACTGCGCAAATTTTTTCCATTAACGTCGCATTACTGGCAATCTCTCGCCAGATTGACGCGCAGCCGTACGCGCGGATACTATTTCATGAGAAATTAAAAATCTTCGAATACCGGAACTGTCTCATTATGAATTAAATTTCAATAGATGTCGATTGGGCCGAAGCGTGGCCGATAAATCGGCAGTCAAGCGAGTAGAGAAATGATTAAGATATTGATTAACGAAAAAATGATGACGGACGGAAAAACGGAAGACTGCTTTTTGGCTGCGTTTTCCCGTCACGGCCGATTTCCGAACGTTTCCGATGAAACGAAATGGCGATAAAGTAGGTGAGCAAGACTAGGAAGCTGGTATATCCGGAGGGTTCACGTGACACCGATCCGTCCCCGCATCCGTTCTGGGTACAGTCCGCTGTATAGATCATGAGGAGAGCCCGGATTGATAACGCGAAGCCGTAAAACTCGTGCTGCGAGCGCTTATCAGCGTTTCGAACGCGCTTTTTCAGCTCGCGAGTCGAAACGATTCACGGATTCGTAATTATATGAATGCATTTCATCTCTACATCCACTTCACTTTATTCATTTGATCTTGTTCATAACTATTTAGTTTTCAGGGTCACCCGCTAATTTGCGCCAATGTTTCATTGGGAGGCGAATAAATAAACTTGCTTGTATTGTTTCAGGTTTAATTTTGTCACAGGTGTGTTACGTGTGCTTTAAGTCGCGATATTTCGAAAATAACAATATGTATTGTGTGTCGCGCGGTATGATTGCTTGATAACATTAGACACCGCAGAGGGGAGCATCCCAAATGACAAGAGGAAGTGTGCGGGAAGTGGCGCGGGAACCACACCGCTTACCATCTTGCTGCTCAGAATTTTCACGGGGATGGAGCGCGCACCGCAGCGATTTTTGGAAATTATAATTTGCGATATCAAATTATAATAAAAATATTTATAATGAAACAAATCAAACAAATTTACAGGAATTTATTCTCAAAATTTCATTTCCTAATGTTTCAGATTATTTATTTGCAATTTATTAATTTTTTGCAGAACGCGCGTTTAAAATTTTTACAACAATATAACATTTTCTATCGCGATTTTTAAGAACTGCATCTGAAAGTATCTAGTTGCATTAACATTTGAAAAAAAATATAATGTTAGAAGACTTTTTTTATCGCGGTAGCCATCTTTTGTCTGAAAGTCTGGCAAATCTTTTGTCTGGCAAAAAGTAGTAGATGGAATGTTGGAAAAAATATTTTGATTAACAATATTATATTATTTACGAGATATTAAGAAAGAAAATTGTTTTAAAAACGATGTAAACGTTTACATACCTCTAATATTTGCAAAAAAGATGAATAAAAAAATGATTAATAATAAAATTGAGTAGATTTGATAGTTTAATATTGAAATATTGAGCTTTGACAGCATTTAAACACATGACATTGATACAATCATATCTTTAATTGGAATAAGAAATTTCTGTTTTGATTTCTGTATTGATTTACGATATTTTAACACATTGTGCGCCAAGCTAGATTTGTAATAAGAATTCTCATTTTTATTGGTATCGAGAACTCGTTCATAGCTATTAATCAAAGTCAGATAAACATGTATGTTTACTAACTGTTCATTTAAGGTTTTGATTGATTTTTATTAGATTTCTATTTTTCTTAAGAGAACATGCATGTTTAGATGTGTCCTTACATATCTTTATCATACTTTTATCAACTAAATTATAAAAAATTAGTAAAAATTACAAATTTAAGAAATTTAAAAACCGACAATAATTATTTTCTTTATGATTTTTCTTAAATAAATATATAATGATATAAATGTGTAAGATTTTATTCGAATTGTGTGGACAGTGTTTTATAACACGTAATATATATGTTTATTTAAGATAACAACTTAGGATAAGAAATAATAAATATTATATAAAGTTAATTATAAAATACAGCTTCTAAATTGCACTCCTATTTTCAGATAAGGCATTTTCTAGACAAACTTCTATAACAAGATATTGTACATATATTTATGTAAAAATTAAATAATTAATATAAAGTAATGTAGTAGTTTTTACATTACAAACATATAATTGATTGATTTCTCCGTATAAATGCATCATGCGGTTGCACAAATTCGTCTAAAGAGATTTGAAACTTTAAAATTAATAGCAGATTACAATACGAGATGGCGTTAAACGAGAAACGCTCGATTCGAATTGCAACTTGCTAACCTGAACACATGATGCTTCGTGATGCTTCCATCAGTTCCCACCGTTCTCACTATCAAACAAAAATTCAACATTTCATAGCGTCTTAGTTTCCGGGTAAACAAACGTGTATTAAGACAGAAATTTTGCAGTGTTTAGCAGTGTTTAGCAGTGTTTAGTGACACCGCTGGAAATGTTAATTGATTTTCGACATGGATTGTTATCGTCTTGACAACGAATTTGTGAGATTATGATTATAAATATACGCCGTCTAAGTAACCGCAACTCTGCCGGAATGGCTGTAAACATGATTTTGTACTTAAGTCTAGCGTTGTCGATACTGACGAATTTTTACGTAATCGCTAACGATGATGTTAATGCAACTATCAAGTGCCAATTCAGCAAACCTATGCGCAAACAGGTACCAGCAGAACCTTTGAACGGCATGTGCCTGCGAGATGCCGTCGTGCACTTGTCCAAGACACTGCAATCCATCGTCGACAAGGAGCTCGGTGTGTCTGTATTCCAGAAAATGATTAATAAGATGGAATTTATACATACTTTAAGCGACATGGATATGAGACTGAACTCATTAGTTGATAAATTCAACAATAAATTAAGATCGTACGATGATATTCTTAAGCAGAGTTACAACGCCATATATCCTATCCTGTCCAAGAAACAGGATTACTCTGCTTATTCTAGTCAAATGGTCAATTTGGACATTACACAGAACAGAGTTACAGATATATGCACTGAGATTATGACAGGTATATTTTTTGTGGAATGATGTAGCTTTTTACCTAAGCAGTGTAATACATTATGATTTTTATTTCAGCACTTACAACAGTTTTAAGAAATCAAGAGTGGAAAAACTTGCATATATTACCTATAAACCAACCAAGCACATTGTGTGGACCACCTACATTGGCTCACAATATTGGCCCACTTTTGTTATCTCAATATTGTCCCGAGAAGAATGTCATTTTACTTTTGGATCATGGTGCATCTATATCCGAGTCTGAGCTTGCCTTGGCTCAAATGGCAACTAAAAGTATCATAGATATGCTATCTGAGACAGATAATGTTACTGTCGTTGGCCTTGCCAACATCGCTCCTCTGTTTTGTAAAGATGGCTTATTAAAGGCGACAGATATTAATAAATTTCAATTAGCACGTCATATCGATGGCTTAACTAGAACAGGTAATCAAAACCATGTCATTCTAACATTATTTTAATATATACATCACATTATATTAATAATATTGTTATTAATATATGCATGATATATATTGATTTAATACTTTACTTTAATGTAGCATTAATTTTCTTTCAGATTCAAATCAAACGACAAATGTCAATTTTAAAAAATTAACACAGAATCTAAGAGGTGAAGTGATTATTATACATATTACCAATAAATTTAAAAATACATCAAACGTGCAAAGAATTCTTGATGTTATTTTAGAGGAGCATAAAGCTTATCTCAAAACTATACTTATTGCTTCAAGTAAGTTGATTTCCTTCTTTTACTTTAGTCACATGGAAGATTTTTTTTATATCAGAATTTATCTTTTTAGATGACCATTTGTACAACAATATTAAAGAGTTTTTAAACAGTGACAATATTATAACTCTCCCAACGCAAAATGTCTTGGGATATGAGATAGGAAAATTATTTTCTTGCTTGCAATGTCCTGATCAGCACAAAAAAGATTATTACATATCAGACTCATATTTTGAGCCATATAATAAGGCAATGACACTGTCTATTGGCCAGATCACAAGTACCGCTCTATTGTCCTTAGACATAAAATTGCGTGATTTCCTTGCCGATATAACATATTATAAGGCCAGTCCACACATAAATATTATACTCTTCGACAACAAAGGTGTCGTTTGGATGCATAAAAATTTTCCCAGGGTTGAGATGATAATTGAGCAACCTCTCAAAGTGCATTTACAAGATATTGAAAATATAGACACTCGGACAGTAATGAAAATGATAAATGAGAATAAAGGAGACATAAATGTGAAAACAAAATTGGGTGAGCAGGTAAGGATAACCTTTGCATTTAAATATGAAGATAGAAAAATAAAAAAAAAAAAAAGAACAATTTTAGATACAAAAAAATTATTTTTTTTATAATATAGAGACGATACAGATGGAGACATTTAATTTATGAAGACTTAATAATCTGTTTTGTGTCCACAACTTCACGTGAGGAGAATATAACGTCTATTTCAAGGGCCACGCTTTCGACGAACATATTGCACCATCGCCTCGATCTTATACATCAAAATATTATTGATAAAGACACACTTTGCATCTATAGGAACAGGATTATAACTTTGTGTAAGAAAAAATAAAATCTTTTCTTCTATTTGCCACTGTTTACAAAATTTTTACAAAATATGTATTTTTTTTTTTAGCAACGGGAGTAGTTTATTTGTCACCATGGTGCTTTCAATCTCCAATGGAACAACTGAAATTATTGGAGACTGGTTCATCGATGACTGTACAGAGTTACATGGCGTACTTAAAAGACTTGACGGGTCTCTTGGCCAATCCTGGTTTGCATTCATCTGTAAAACCAGATGTAGCGATGTTGGCGCAACTTTTGGAATATTTTAAGAACCAACATACCGAGAGTTCGTTAAACAAATTTATAATAAAAAGGTAACAACTACGAGTAACTATAATTTTGTGCATAATTACTAATTTTTAAATATATTTTTATGCTTTTAATGTTTCATTTTTTAGATATGTCGTAACTGCAATCACCGGTGTACTGGAGATATTTCCAGGAATGGTATTGGATTCTGGATTTGATCCCAAGAGACGAATGTGGTACGGGAAAGCGCTGGAGCATCCTGATAAAGTAATCTTGACTCCTCCATACTTGGACGCAACTGGATCAGGCTATGTGGTCACTTTGAGTAAAATCGCTGGATATTTCATAAAAGATCAAAGAAGTTCAGATCACGCTTTTGCCATCGTATCTATGGACGTAACGATGGGTTACGTCATGAGACTGCTGTTGGAAATGTTTCCGTTCTGTAACGAAACAACAGTAAAATGCTTTTTGATGGATGACAAAGGTTATTTAGTGACTCATCCGGCATTATTGGAGGCGTCAGGCAAGATTGAGCAACAACATTTAACACACAAAGAGCTTTTAGTGGCCAATGATATATTGAACCACGGATTATTCGTAAAAAAGAAAGTGTGCGCCAATCACTTGGACGGTACTATACAAAGATACTATCAATTTAACACGTCGCTCGACGAGGTGCTCACTAATATAGCACACGGTGAGCACTGTGTCAGATATCAGGTAGCTGCTGTGCCAGGCACCAATGTGTTCCTTGGTGTCGTCAACGTGACGACTCAATGCAATCAGCTTAGAGCCTTTTGTCCGTGCAGTACGGTAAGCGTTCAGTTTTACAGTAATTTTCGATCTTCAAGCATTTCCTTTAAATTCACCGCAATTTATATTCCCTTTATTAAATATTACAGATGGATCATTCGTGCTTGAATTGCAAGAGCATGGAACAAACCGGTTGCGAATGTCCTTGCGAATGCTCTTTGTACTCTTCCAGCTGCACACAGCAGAATACCGACAATCTAAAATCTTGCGCGCCTCTGTACGAGCAGGGGTCGAGTCTGCAAACGCCGTGGATACAACCGACGAACTTAAAATCATGCCCGTCTATCGATTGCAAATCGTACACGACGAAGAGAGATTGTTTAGGCATCGCAGATTGTCAATGGTGTCACATCGACACCGACGGGGAGACACCTTTGCAACATCCGTTCTGTTCCGACGTGTCCGTGTGCTTCAAGGGAATCTTCGGATCTTTGATACCTTTCAATGACGGTAGTTATAGTAAGTTTATTTTTTCCTCTCCGAAAGTAATTCATTTCCAATGATTTTCATACAAAATCCATGCGTTTTCAGATTCACAATCGATGGACGAAATTGCGGCACAAGAGTGGCCGTCGGTTGGACCAGTGGCCGGTGGAATCCTCGCGTTGGTTTTATTCCTAGTCGGCGTTCTATTCTGCTACAGATTACGATCGATGCATTCAGGCTTGGAGCATCAGTGTTTGCATCTCCGTACTTCGCCCGACACGTTGCGTATGACGCACGTCGACGGTGATCCGGATCCAGCCGAGCTGGATCAAACGAAAAACAATTTGGATTGCCTCGTGAGAGACAATCTCGCGCCCATATCTCCGTATAGGGTATCCAGCAACTACAGAAGACCGCCCGGTGGGGATAGTGATCACGGATACAGCACGATGACGCCCCACGACGACTCCGAGCAGCAGACAATCGCTTCCGAGCCTCTGCTAGTCGTCGGCAATAATGTCGAGTCGGATTTAAACAAACAATCCGGCATTGGAGTGCCTTCTCCCATAACGTACTTAGGATCGCCGCATCATGTCTTAGCGCCTGTGACTGTCCATCGCGATATGGAAACGAATTACTGTTAGCGAAACTCGAAATTAACTGCCATTTGAAAAGTTAAAATACACGTGGTTTTTTTTTTTTTGAAACATTTTGTTGTAGAAATCCGATCATTTTTTCTTTGCAATTGCGACCTCAGGATACAAAAATTAAATGGTATGAGTTGTTCTCGTACATATAACAATTTATTTTACTTACAATCTTTGATATGAAAGATACAATATTGCCGTATTATTTTATCATGAGATTGTTCTTATTACTATTGAATGGCTACATAAGTACGAATCTTCAGTGACCTTGCGTAAAAGCATATGTAATTTTTATTTTATAAATTTTATTTATCGCTATTAAAGCTTTTTAAAAGTACTAATAATAGTTAATAGATTGTGCGAGTTTTTTATACGAAAGGTTGGAAAATAGTTGATACATTGAGCACAAGACTTAATGTAAAATATGATTTTATAAGTATTACAGCAGCGCAGATAATTATTAAAATACAATTCCAATTTCGAATTGTATAAAAGTATACGAACAATACAATTCCAATTTAGAATTGTATAAAAGTATTTTATACGAACAATATTGCAGCTTGCCAAGTAGTATCTTTATATGAAAATGTTAGCGAAATGGTATTATATTCACAGATAGGTGCTATACATTCGTATTTATACAAGTCGAGAAATTTAAATACTATTGTTATTGTTGGTTAAAATTGATAGAAAATTTTCAAGTTAACAGCGACAACTTTCTATTTGGATAAGTAAATTTTTGAGCTCACCGTCTGAAGCACTGCCATCACGTTTTACGATTGAAAAAAGTGCAAGATATAATTACTTTTATAAAAATAATAGACAAGAAGACAATTGAAGATTTATTTCTTTTTGAATTTTTTTTTCTTAGTGCGAGTATTAAAAGATTGCCGGTGATTTATAAATTTTAGTTCCATGACTTATTCTTAAAAATGTCAGATTTTTTTCTTAATAGATTTATACAATGTACTTATTATCATGATTTAAACAAACAGTGCCAAAACGATGATACCTTATAATTATGCAGTGTAATTTTAGAAAGTTATTAATTTAGAAAGTTATATATATAGAATCTGTTTTATCATATCTCTATTCTTACTCCACTACTTTATACTCTTATCTTTATCGAGTTTATTTAAGCATTTATCTTCAAATAAGAGCACAAATTTTTATTGCACAAATTACAAGAAACATTAAAATAAGAACAAAAATCCAGAAACCGATTCTGGAAACGTGTCAGTGAGAGAGTATGTAAATTATATAATTTATTGATGAGAGAGGTTGATTACACGGTTGATTATCGATACAAAAACATGAAGGGGATCTCTCATAATATTTAAACATTTTTGAGATATTCATGTATTTTTATAGAAACATAACTATGCAATCTCTCTCGCGATGAAAAAAGTTACATTATGATGGCTATAGTACAAGCTTATACGAAAGTATTATTTAAAAGTTTTACTACTAAGATCTTTTTTATTGATATAATACCATACACTTCCATTTATACACACTTTGCGCGATATGCACATTTTAACAAACTAACATGATCGTAATAAAGACATTTCATTTCTATCTTTCTAAGACTTTTCAATTGAAAAGCGAGCAAAATCATAGAAAATATTAGGGTGTTAATTCATATGACAATTGCATGAGACATACATACGCCATCTTGACTGATACTTACAAAAAAAACTAACTGATGTATTATTATCGTTAAGAATGTAAAATACCGTTTTGTATTGATGTTTTTTTACAATGTAAACTGCGTACAAAATATGTGCCGAGCGAGATTTTATACACTGTATCAATATTTTTTACTATTAAAGTCAGTATTTTACTATTAAATAAGAAATACGTTGTATTTTTTTGGATTACTTGTGTGACGTAAAAAAAAAAAGCGTTTTTTAATTTTTTTTATTTTTTTTGTGAAACGCATTTTATTTTATAGGAAGGAAAATGTGAAGAGAACATTACATTGTTCGTATATGCAAAACGAGCAGTGTCTCACGCTTTTATTATACCCTATTTTATAAGTTATTCAATACGAGGTATTTTGAACGACCGAAGAATATTATGACTAAGGTGTAAAGTCTGGATTTTTTCTTAAAATTACAAAACCTTCCATGATTGGCGTTAATGGTATGTATTCCTCGGTGGCGAGTTCCGCTCTCTCCCCGTATGCCAACAGCACCGGTGTTGTGTGCGTTTGAAAGCCCGTGATGGTCTTCGGTTTGCCGGCTTGGCCAACAACATCAACGGCAAGCCCGACTCTCACAGGTACGGCCAGAGGATTCAGATCCTCATCGAATGTAACTAGCATCCTGGGTTGCATTGCGGCGGCCAGTGTGTACAAGAGATAATGTGAACGCCCGAGAATAACTGCAAAAAAAGATTATAACATTAACACAAGTTACACATGATGTTGTAAAAGCTTTTTCTTACGCGAGGATTGAGAATCTACAAGCTTAGCGATCTAATAATTAACCATTCACTTTTTTAGTATGTAAAAGTCAATAATTTATAGATATAACTTTATAATTTCACAAATCGTAAATATATAAAAATACATAAAATTCCTTCGTTATAATAAAGATTACATGAAGAATATACTCACTGTTTTTCACGTCCAAGAAACCGATTAGTGTCGATAGAAGGCCGGCGAGAGCAACGGGGCTCAGCAGCTGTCTGTCGCTGTGATACGGCGACAGGGTAAGCGTGCCCTTACCCAGATGCGTCAGGCCTTGCGCGATGCGCACCATGAAGAGATTGTTCGGATCCTTGGCGTGGAATTGAGCCAGTTGTCTCAACATGGCAGCCAATCGTGCGTTATTCGTACCGGCACCAACCAAGCCCATGGCAAATATCGCGTTGTGCGCCACTTCCGGATCACTGTCGTGCGAGAACTTCGACAGCGTGTCCAGGATGTTGAGCTTCGGATTCGACACTGAAATGAGACCCAGGGCGAGAGGAACCGAGCGGCGGATTACAGGCTCGCAGTAGCGCAACAAGTGGCCAAAGGTCCTGTATGCCATTTCGGCGCCAATTTCCTCTCCCATGGCTATCAGAGCGATACCGAGAACGGCGATAGCTTGTCTGGAGCTAAGATCCTTCTCTTTGTCCTCTTTCTTCTCTTCTTTCTTATCCTTATCCTTACGCTCGCTCTTCTCCTCCTTTTCGTTGCTCGGTTCATAGTGCTCCGAGCAGATGTGCAGCAAGTGCTGGATTTTAAGGACGTTTCCTGTACCGGCGTACGCGCATACCTCCACCAGCGTTGTCGACATTGATCTAAACGGCTCGTGAACAACCTCTAGGGCCGCGATGATCGCTTCCGCCGCCTCCTGCTTGCCCAGGAAGCACAGGCCCAGACCAAGCGCCAGGAACCGCGCGTACGTATCTTTGAGATCGGACTCGGACTTGTCCATCAGCGTGTGCATTATCGCTGTGGTGACATAGACGTTACAAGAGCCAGCGGCAACCATTCCCAATGCCAGACCAGTCATTCCTAAAACCTCCCAGCTCGATTTAGTGTCGCTGAGAACGGGCGTCAGCAAGCCCAGTACGGCTTCTCGATTGGAGCCAGCGTAGGCGATGCCAAGGCCGACGATGGCGCCGATACGCATCGTGTTACTGCTATGGAGCACGTAATCTGAGAGCAGAGCCAAGGCGGGATCACACTCGTTCCTGACACCGCAGTTAACGATGCCGCAAGCCAGCAAAGCGCCGGACTTGATGTAGTCCTCCGACGAGTACAAGTATTTGTCTATCGGTGTCAGGCCGCCGTCGACGTCCCACAGCAGGATCAATCCGAGAGACGCGGTCGCGCTCAACATGCCGTGCTCCTTGTTCTTGTACAACCATTTGTTGCCATCCTCAATCAGTAGCTTATCGTGACCGAACGCGGCGTTGACGAAGCCATTGACGAAGCTCGCCGCGAGATTCTGTCGCGCCGAGTCGACCTGGCCACCGCCAAACGGTGGTCGCGAGTTCTCCAGATGAGACTTGTAAACATCCTCAG